AGAATGTCATGTTACAGTTTACCAAATCCTTTCATATATAGCCCTAAATTACCTCTTTATTTTGCCTTCCCATAGCTGAACCTTTCAGCCTTCATAGATTGATTCCTTACTTCATTTTTGAAGTTTAAAACCTTATAGTTAATTTTTTGGGCTTTTTTTTTTTAAGCAGGACTCTTGAATTTTGACATAAAATATCTTCCTATATATTTTAGTTATTTGGGCTTGGTTTTGTTTCGTTTTCCCAATCTCTGAGGAAATCTCAGGGCTCTTCAGAACTTTGTTACATCTGTATCAGTTTCTGAGTTGATCAGGGGATCTATTTAGTTGGTGCAGAAGGAAATATACAATAGTGCATGCCAATATGATTACATATTGCGACAATAAATTCGTGTAAATATGAAGTGAGAGAGGCAGTTTAGGAAAGATGCCAAGCTATGCTGCTCTAAGAAAAAGACGACACCGGCTTTAGCTGCATTGTTGGAAGAGATTTTAACACCGAAAGCCTCATTAGAATCCTAGCTCTTCCTCACATCACTTTGCTGGCTGCAACAAATTCACCGCCAGGGAAATTTACACATGGGATGTGTTGCCAAAGCGTGACCTGCAACCGCTGATGCCGGATGTCCCAAACATGTTTCAAGGGATCCCATCAAAAAGAGATAAGGGACTTCTGTTGAAGAATCAAAGGCAAATTTGATAGGAGCAGTTTAGGGGAGGTCAAACTCTATTTTCCTCTGCAGATCAGCACTGTGATTCAGGGATTTAAATGATGCTTTTAACAAACTCAACTATTTCAAAACTATTGGTACTGCACTTTGAAGCTATTCTTCAAAAGTAGAAGAGTCACCTGGAATTTATTATGAAATAATACTTCTCTACACATGCCCCTAAATGTATTTTTTAACGTCCCTAGCTGTTTCAGACCTTCATAAAAGGAAGTTATCTGCTTACTGGGATGTGGCATCTTCCATTCTCCATTCTAATCTTCCTGTTGAAGCGATTTTAAAATGGCTTAGATCCACACACACCACCCCCACCCCCAGGATCTTAGGGTTAGGAATTCTAAGAGATCCAAAGCAGGTTTAGGGAAATTCTCCAGTCACTTGTACACTTGTAATCACAACAGCTTGTAATCCATAGTTTAAACATTCAATTGTTGTGTGAGAATCGAAACTCCCAACTCCACAAAACGCCTTCCTTGCCCCTGTTCCATGCCTGGGAAGCCTGCAGTGGGCTAAGGGGCATTCCCCAACCTTCTTCTCTAGCTTTGGCTCCTTCCACATAGAAATGGGACCAGGACAGTAAGGTAAAAAGCAGGAGAGTTCTCACTTGATTGGCACCAACGTAATCTGGCATTGGTGTTTCCTCTATCTATGGAGGATAATGCAAGTTGACTCTTGGGCGCCTGGGTGGCTCAGTTGGTTGAGCAGCTGCCTTCGGCTCAGGTCATGATCCCAGGGTCCTGGGATCGAGCCCCATGAGCAAGGAGACTCCTTCTCCCTCTCCCTCTGCCCCTCCCCATGCTCATGCTCACTCCCTCTCTTTCAAATAAATAAAATCTTTAAAAAAGAAAAAGAGGGCGCCTGGGTGGCTCAGTTGGTTAAGCGACTGCCTTCGGCTCAGGTCATGGTCCTGGAGCCCCGGGATCGAGTCCCGCATCGGGCTCCCTGCTCGGCAGGGAGTCTGCTTCTCCCTCTGACCCTCCCCCCTCTCTTGTGCTCTCTCTCATACTCTCTCTCTCAAATAAATAAATAAATCTTAAAAAAAAAAAAAAAAAAAAAGAAAAAGAAAGTTGACTCTTTCCCTTATGGGCATGTTTGTGGATTCCTGGAAGATTTCTCCAACTGCAGCTCCCTTGAGTCAGAGAGAACCCAGAGGATGGCTGGCTTCTCCATCTTTCTACCAAAGCTCTCCCACCCCTAGAGCGGCTCAGCTGAGCAAGATGCCTTTCTTCAATGACCCCAAGGTACCGTTTCTACTGCATCGTCCACATATTGGCCCCAGGAATTGCACACTTTAGGCCTGCCTCAGTGGGAGGGTAGGAATTTTGTAAATGTAGCCTCTGTTCTTTGGGCATATGTTGCTTCTACCAACCTCTCCCAGTTGCCTTTTGTTGTTGTTTTTAATTAAGCAATGAGTCCAGCTCCGAGGTGCATAAGGGGTTAAAAGTCCCAAACTCTGGTTTTCAGTACCTCCTTGAAAGTCCTGCAGCACCTTGCTTTGGCGTGCAAAGCTGATTGGGATCTGTTGGCATGAAGCCTCAGCTGGATCCGCCTCAGCTGGCTTGGCATCCTGTAACTTACGAACACACAGGGCTTCCTTGTTGTTGTTGTTGTTGTTGTTGTTGTTGTTGTTGTTTTACCCATCGTAGGATTGAGTGAGGAATCCTAACAGACCCAAAGCACTATGGAGTTCATTCTTCATGTCTGGCAGGGGTAATTAAGTACTTGTAGATGAAAGGAAACAGAAATAAAAGCCCATTCCCAGAGCTGATAATAGTTCTATTGAGATTTTTCCATCAATTCTTTTCTTTCTAACAGGATGGTGGGAGCCAGGACGGCACAGGGGTGTACCAGCCTCTGTCACCTTTACTCTTGGCTCAGCCACGACTGGCCCTCAGCATCCAACACTCTTGTGTTTCTTGGTTCTGATCCTGCAGAGAGGAAATCCGATTGGCTCACTCCAACCCCTGGGTCCAATCAGCTCTGCCCTGAGCACGGATCCCTGGGCCCAGTGCCTGCTCCCGAGGGCCCTGGGGGCAGGCCTTGGGCAGAGCACGCCCACTACTATGGCTGCCATGTGCACAAAGGCTTCAGTCAACTGGGCTGTATCCCATCTCTCATCTGCTGGGCGTTCCTTGTTTCCCTCAAGCAAGGGGAACTCGAGTAAGAGCTGAGAAGCAGCACTTGTGTTGCTTTCTGAGTGTTTGTTTCTCTCATGCAGACATCTGTATGGCAACAGTGGGGGCTGGGGGATGGTGTTAGGTCCACCAAATGAGTGGTAGTTTGGTGCAGTGGATTGGCCCCAAAGAGTTGGGAGGCTGGTCCTCCATTGTCTTGGTGAGCAAATGAGGGATTACTTCAGAGGTCTCCAAGAGCCACCTCCCCTTCAGCAGTTCGTAAGATTGCTAACATACATCTACCCCCCATTTCTTCATCCTCTTCCAACTCATGAGTTTTTTATTAAACCATACGTGCAGAGAGTGGAATTCATCAAACTCATCCATTCAGGGTATAAACAATCATCATAGACCCATGGAAGGCCCCTCTTCTCTGATGTTGCTTATTTATATTCACGCCCGCCCCTCTCTCCCCTGAGAGAAATCCTTTGGAACACGTTTAGTGTGTCCTTTAGTATGCGCGTGTGGTTTTGCACTTTTGCGAATGGTCTTCTGTTCTGTACCCTGTCTGGTTTCTTACCTTGCGTCTGAAGCACCATCCTCAGAGTTACCAGGCACAGCTAGGCTCCTGCCTCTTCCTGTCACATCCTTCCATGCTGTGCATCCACGCACGTCCGTGTCCACTGTCCTATAGCTGGATGCCCAGCTGCTCTCTAGCGCTTCACCCCCATACAGCCCTTAAAGGCCAGCGGCAGAATTTCTTTGTGATCTAAACCAGAGTGGAAAGCTGAGGTCATAGTGCATGTGACACTGAGCTTTGCCTAGTGATGCCACAATGCTCCGCCGAAGGGCTGCACCTGTCCACACACCCAGCAGCAATGCATGATCACTCCTTGTATCCACTTCACTCTGCCTTGGTTATACTGTTGCTCTGTTTCTCCATCTAATGGGAATGCTGGCTGCGTACTTCTTACTGGAGCTTTCTGCCCACCGTTGGCAACTGGGAACGCAGGGGAGCACACGGGCTGCTATTAACCACGTGCTGCTCCCTGCCGCCACCCAAAATTACCATCATCCGAGATGTTCTGGTACTTCTCTGAGTTTCTTGCGTTTTATTCCTCCCCTCTCTACTCTGTTGATTTCTGTCCTCCCCCACCACACTCCCCACCTCCCGGTCCACACCCAGCGCTGCTGTGGCCAGTGGCCCAACCCGGTCCAACCCAGCCTGACGGGAGGGCACCTAGCCCCAGTGCAAAGATTGCTAGAAATACGATCTGCCGTGGCTTCTTCCAGGAAATGGCCTTGAAACGGACTCCCTTTACTTTATTCATTTGGACAGAAAATCACAAAAGCAGGTCATTCATTAAAACCTAGAGTAGGAAAAGTCAGCGTCTCCTCAACAAAGTGGCATCTGACCTTCCTTCTACTCAGGATGGAAAGGGAAGGAAGGAAAAGTATTATACCCACAGCATGATTTTCCCTGAGGGGTTGAGTTATTTGTCAGGATTGGGTTATTTGGGGGACATTAAATAAACCATGATATTGCCTTGGGGGACACCTATCGTGAACACGATTTCCCGGCGAGTGCCCATCTGAACTACTTAGTGCCCCAGCGTCCTGGGCGTTGTTACTGTGGACCCGGTGAGCTCCCTGGCGTGGGGAAGTGATGTTCGCGGGGTGCTATTTGCACACAAGAAACCCGCACTGACAGTTCTCTTTCATGCTGCTGACCCTGAGCAGATATGGATGTTACGAATTTTTAAAAATCGATTCCCTTTCTAGAAAATTAAAATCAAAAGGGGGAGAATCAATGTGGAGGGTAGCGGAAAGTGCGGAGACTGATGGAGTCGAGGCTTCTCCACCAGTCGTTTCTCTGGGCGAGTGCTGATTTCAAAGGCGTGCTGTTCGGCCTCACAGATAATGCGCCCAACATAAACCGCATGGGAAGCTTTCAATCAGGCTGTTTGTTACACTGGGTGAACACTGGATTTTGGTTTTCTCTGAGGTCTGAAAGCCCATTTTTGAGCTTTTTGATTTACTCTGCCTGAGAGCCCCGGAAACATTCGCCAACACATCATGCATTGCATTTCAAAAGAACGCTGTCATGTAGAGTCCGGCCTCTGTGCATTTCATAAATATGTTTGTTTTTCTTCTCTTTCAGAAGCTGCAAAGAATCGATACTCCTCACTGTTATTCAGCCTTACCCTGTAAGTGTCTTGTGAGTGAAAGTGCCACTGTATGATCCCAGGATTCTAGCCTCCTCCTCCTCCCAGGCCGGGGAAACCGTGACAATGAGTAACAGCAGAGAAAAACAGCATGCACTCACAATATGAGTTCAGAAGTCTTCATTATTTGTATTTTATACACCATGATAGCAAAACCATTCATAGGAGAGAAAGGAAAATAACGCATTTTCTATATATCTTGAAAACCAGCTATTCAATCTGTGGGACTCACATCTGGAAATCAGACAAGACTCAAGACTTTCTTATGGTTTCTAGCTTAAGAATCACAAATGGAATGGGAATGTTTGATTGTAGGATGTTCTAGCATAATTCTTTTTCATATCCCCTTCTAATTGGTAGATATTTCAGGGAGACCTCCCCCCTTTAAAGGTGGCTATTAGAGGAAATACGGCTGTCAGAATTTGATTTAAGCGTACAATTCAATGATCTGTATAAAATTTACCAAAGTTTGCAGGCATCACCACGGTCCAGTTCGAGAACACTTCCTTCAGCCCCATGAGAACCCTCGTTCCCATTTACAGTGAATACCCCCTGCCTACCCTCAGACCCAGACAACTACTAACTGACCTTCTATTTCTGTAGATTTGCTGTTGCTTGTGAATTCCATACATCGGCAGTTGAACCCAAAAATAGCAAGAAATTCCTCCAGATCCCCCCCCAAAACATTTACCATCGGTACTTTGTGGCCTTTGCAGGGATTCATGGAAATCCCACCTGTTTACGCTTCTGTTTTCTTCCCCGTGGAGTTGGAGGCTCTGCCAATGGTCGGTCTCCATCTCCTGACCAAACTCTTTCTCTCCCCTGTCCCAGCACTTCCCTCCTAAGCACTATGGCCTAAGCATTTCAGGCAGGAAAAAAATATGTATTCAAGATTCCAATAAGATAACAAATAGAATTAACCAAGACAATAAATCATGCCATCCAGGATGTAACTATTTATAATAAAAGCTTAGTTTACCATTCACTGTTCCTTTTGGTCCCTCTCTGCCACAACTGCACACGCATGTCTGGATTTGAAAACCAAGGAGACAGCAGGATGTAAGAGAACCGAGATTTGAGATCTAGTTCCCAGCAATAGAACAGGTGACTCCCACACCCGCTCAGATTTCTGCACCTGCCTGAGAGGGTCACACTGACTCATGGGCAAGGGCTCCCCTGCTCTGCATCTCATGATTCTGTGATTCCTTCCAGAGAAAGTACAGCTACATTGTTTCTGTTAACCCGATTGTCACTCACACTCACTTCAAATCTATCCACACTTCCTCATTTCTTGACAGTGGACAAATAGGTTGGGTGAAGCCAATGGAAGTGTCTACAATAACCGAGTGGTTGGCCAACTACAAATTCCTAATGGAACTTCAAGTTCCCCTTGTGTTTCCTGAATTCTCTCTTCCCACTTTGTAACCTCTTAGACATGCGAGATCAGAACCATTGTATTCCAGGGGGTATAGCTCAGTGGTAGAGCATTTGACTGCAGAACCATTGTATTCCATACCAGGTTATTTTTGCAATGTGAGGTGATGTTTTACCCCATGCAGTAAAGTTGGAGAAAGAACAAGGAGTTTGGCATTTAAGTTAAGGGTTGTGTCTTGTGGCTTTGCTTGCTGTTTTTGCCATTTGAGTGTGCGTGACTGGTTATTCATATGAATACTCATTATTATCAGTGAGTCGTGGAACTTCCTGTAATCGATCATCTGGAGCTTTCCAGGAACAAGTGTTGCATGTTCTTCTGGCCAACGGCTGCACCTCTGCGCCTTGCAGCAGTCTCTCCCTGCCTGGTCATTGTGGATGGAATCCTCGTCTTTGACTTTCCTTGACCAGCCCTACTTCCTGAAATGCCCACTACATACCCCACCCCACCTCCTCAGCCTAGCCAAACCGTTCTCACCTTCCAAGCCTCAGCACAAGCTCTAAATGCTATCTCAGGGTTTCTCACTGTCCCCACTGCTGACATTTGGCCTGGAGAACTCTACATTCTGTGGTGTCGTTCCATGGCCTATGGGATATTTAGTAGTATCTCTGGCCTCTACCCATTAGATGCTAGTGGTGCCTTCTCCCCATATTGTGACAACCAAAAATGTCTCCAGGCATTGCCAGGGGTGCCTGGCGTCGGGGGGATTCCTTCCACTTGGGAACCACTGTCCCACCTAGAGTCTCCCCTCACTGATCCAGCCCAAAGTGGCTTTTTCCTCTGCAGTATGGGAATGGAAATGAAGGAATTGAAACCCCAAAGTGACTTAAATAGACAGATTAGACCCAGAGAGGAGAGAAGATGGGAGAAGAGGCTACATGTTCTTCCTTACATTTTTGTGTTTGGATTTTCCTACCGGCACATTGCTTTTTAAAATACAAAACCTCCCTGAGTCCCACTTACTTGCTGAACATTTCTCTCAGCAGTCGGGATTGGCTTCCTGGAACAGATGACCCACCAGGCCAAAAGAACGTGTATAATTTCTACTTTTATTGCAGATAGTCAAAATTAGCATTTTAATTTATCCTGTAACTTGCCGGCCAGCATTTGTGATGTTGTATTTCTTCTGCCTAATAGGGTCCAGTCCAGACAGAGAGCCGATGTTTGCCCCTTCTTACCTCACTCCACACGGTCCCGGGGCACCCACAGTGAGCCCAGCTGTGGAAACTCCTGAGGCTTTTGAGAAGCCATTTTTAACAGGCTGCTGCCTTGTTTGTGAAGCATTATAGATGGCTCTCCCCCTCCGCCATGTTTACTTTATTTCTTAGAGAAAAATTGTGGAAGCATAGAAGGAAATACACACAAAAGCAAAAAAATATGTGTCAGCACGTCTTTTCCTCAGAGACAAGCAGTGTAAACAATCGGCCTGTTTCCTTCCAGTCATTTGATAGATGCCTTGTCAGTAGTGGAGATCTTGGACATACAGTTTCTTCTGCTCCTTTCACTGAGTCTATCATAAGCATGGTTTCATACCATCGAGAATTCTTTGTAAGCATCGTATCCATGGCTGGAAAGCATTCTATCGAACCAGGATTTACTTAACCAGCACCCTTCATACTGACTTCAATGGTTTTTACTTCTGCATGCAACATCTTTGTGTAGAAGTCTTTATCTGTATCTAGTCAGTAGTTCCCCCATTCCATTACAATGGCATTCTAGAAAAGGAATTTCTGGATTTCTCACGATTTTTTTTTTTTTAAGATTTTATTTATTTGACAGAGCACAAGCAGAGGGAGAGAGAGGGAGAAGCAAGCTCCCCGCTGAGCAAGGAGCCCAATGCGGGGCTCGATCCCAGGACCCTGGGATCATGGCCCCAGGCCGAAGGCAGACGCTTAACTGACGGAGCCACCCAGGCGTCCCTGGATTTCTTATGAATTTTATTCCATCTTTTATACCATCTTCTTTCCTTGCACTGTTACTGTTTTTTATTACAGAGCTTTCTTGGCTAACTCCTTCCTCCTCTCCTTTGACTCTGCCTCCCACAATTCCCAAATCTAGAACTTCCAGAACTTCCTAGTCTAAAGACAGAGACTATTGAAAGAGTCTCAATTACCTCCCCTCACACAGTCCCAGCTTAATGAGACTTGGGATAAGTCACTCTCCATTCTCTGGTCCATGCTTCACATTCACTCAGCCTTTTTCTAGGCGCAAGAGCTGAGGGACCTGCTTGCCTGCTTCTCCCTTCCTGCCCAACTTCCACTAGGTTCCACACACGTGAGGGAGGCCACATATCTCCTCATGGGAGCCCCCGAGTATTAGATGGTATCAGAACCCAGACCAGATCCTCCTGCCATGTGTCATGCTGAGCGTGCCAGCCCAATACCCAGCCGAGAGCGCCAGTGATTGTTTGCCCATGGGTTTTTTCGGGCTGCAAGAGGATGCTCATGCAGCAGGCCACAAGTGCTGAGGAAATAACACTCCTGGACGAGCAGCCCCTCCATCACTGATTGACAGGAGCTGATGAATATATACCCTAGCTCTCTGTCTCCTCTGACATTCTAACTCTGAGGCCTGTGGGCTGCCTCGTTCCAAGATGTCCCCAACCGCTTTAAGCTCCAGTTGCTCACAGTGGCGAATGACTTACAGAATGCTTCATTGGCTTACTCTTCCACCCCGTCTCCCTTCCTCCTGCCCACCTATGCGTGCTTCCTGGGAGCGCCTCCCATTCAGCTACCTGTTTGTGGAGTCTTGTCTCAGGGTCTACTTTGGGGGACCTCCACGCTAAGTTACCCGGTGAGAACTGTGGGCTACTGAGACCTCAGCAAATATGTACTCCATGCCTACTGTGTCTGTAGTACTGTAGACATACAGGAAGTGCAAATGTAAGACCTTATGCTTTAGTTTCAGAAATTTTACCGTATTTATGTAATTTTTTCCAAATGATGTTTTCTAGTGACTTCTCAGCATCTAAAAGCCCCAAGAGCATGGCACACATCTACTCTGGCCACCTTAGCAACTTCTAATCTTAAATTAATTAATGGCAGGAGAATCTGATTATTTTAAATGGTAATTACTCATCATTTCCCAACACAGGATAGGAAATGCTTGTGATCAGCACCTACAGGCCTTTAGATTGCTAAGAATTAACTCATCGGGTTACTGAGTGGTGTACATTGTATGTTTTTTGAGCTGCAAAAGGAGATCCGAGTGAAAACCACAGTCTTGGCGGGATTACATACCCTGCGTGTCGCAAATAACTCCAGCCAGTGGGATAAGCCATTATTTTGTTGACTCTAACTCAGTGACCTTCAGACTCAAGGAGCTTATGTTTTTATTAACCAGAAGTAATTTTTAAAACATATGTCAGTTATATAAAATAGTCGCAAATCCAGAACAAGAAAAATGCCCTGGCCTGAATTCTTGGCCTTGTATCCCAAGTCCGTTGACTTCAAAATACATGTAGAATAGTATTTACTTAACTACCTTGGCTATCTAGGTTCCTGGCTGGTTCTCTTCATTTATCAGGTTTGTCGTTAGGGCAGGGCAAATAAATCTGGGGAAGAGGCTATAGGGGAGAGGGAGAAGCAGGACACCCCCCCCCCCCCGCCCCCGTTGAGCAGGGAGCCCGATGCGGGACTCAATCCCAGGACCCTGGGATCATGACCTGAGCCGAAGGCGATGCTTAACCGACTGAGCCACCTAGGCATCCCTGTGAAATGCTTTTTATTGAGGCAAGCAGTGACATACATAGATCATCTTAAGAAAATGTGGCAAAGTATTACATTAAAAGATTCGGATGCACAGAGGAACCAACGTCCGTACCTGGCGTGTTGGACACTTGTGAGAGGCTTCATTCACAAACAACGCTGGAGCCTCGGGGCACAGCCTCGCTCAAGCGCCTCATCTAATCAGTGGCGTCAGTCCCGGGTGGCTTTCTGACAGCCACTCCCCTTGTGTGAAACCCATTGCGCCGGTGTAAATATTGCCTGCTTAGAATCATTAAAGGAGAATAATGTTTTCCCTTCAGCTGAAAAATGGCATATCAAAACCGCACGATTTGTTCATTAATCATCACCAAACCCAGTCTAGAATTACAGATAGGGAGGAGAACGCCACCGTCGCATCACTTAAGCTCTGTAGTAGGACTCTTTTTGTTTTTTTAAGTTTGTTTGTTTAGTAATCTCTACACTCAACGTGGGGCTCTGAACACTCGACCCCAAGATCAAGAAGTTCATGCTCCACCCACTGAGCCGGTCAGGCGCCCCTGGAGTAGGACTTTTATTTTTTATTTTTTTAAAGATTTTATTTATTCATTTGAGAAAGAGAGAGAGAGAGAGAGAGCGCACAAGCAGGGGGAGCCACAGAGGGAGAGGGAGAAGCAGGCTTCCCGCGGAGCAGGGAGCCCAATGCGGGGCTCGATCCCAGGACCCTGGGACCATGACCTGAGCCGAAGGCAGACGCTTAACGACTGAGCCACCCAGGCGCCCCTGGAGTAGGACTTTTACAAAGTCATGTTGAACATGTTCAAAGTTGTTGTTCTTTAGAGTCTTTTGGGTTCTTGGTTTTGTTTTCTTTTGTTGTGTTCTAAGAGGGCAGCCCTTCTCTGAAAACATCTTGCATAAATAGGGGAATTAAAGCTCTGGCAGCCAAACCATTCATTCATCCATCCAGTCCCCTCAGACACTGATCAGAGCAGAGGGTGGGATAGGTGTGGAGGGGAACTTGAGATAACAGGATTTTTTTCCAGTATTTAAGAAAACTCCACCCGGAAATAGACATACACATATTTTATCGTATTTTTTTCAATAGTGATTTTGTCTTCTTATAATAAGATGCACATAACGTAAAGCTACCATTTTCACTATTTTAAAGTATTCAAATCTAGGACATTAAGTGCATCCACCATCTTGTTCGACTGTCGCTGCTGTCTAGTTCCAGAACCTTTTCATGACCCCAAAAGGAAATCAACCCTGCAGATGTTAGTCGCTCCCCATTCTCCTCCCCAGCCCAGGGCAACCACTAATCTACCTTCTGTCTATATGGATTTGCCTGTTCTGGACAGTTCATGTAAATGGAATCAAATCCTACAATACGTGGCCTTTTGTGTCTGGTTTCTTTCACTCAGCATAATGTTTTTGAGGTTCATCTATGTTGTAGCACGAACCAGAACTTCATTCCATTTTATGGCTGAATAATATTCCATTGTGTGGATTTGTCATTTCATCATGTTGTTTTGATTGATCTCAAGTATACTTGTATTTGACAAAGATGGGAACCTTCTTCATTTTTACTTGAAATTCAAAGTATGGGACACCCTAAGTGGCTTTTGTGCCTTGAGATTAATACAATACACAGAAAGTTGAGCCTCTGTGTTGGTTCTAGAGTCAGTTACTAGGATTCTTTCCACAACAGTCTGAACCTCTTAGGACTACAAACCATGAAAACCATTAGGTTGGACAATGCAATTTGCAGTATTTGACAATTTTAATCTATAAAATAGCAATTTCATGATTCAAACTAAATATTTACCTGTATATTAGTTTCAGTAGAGAATGCAGTCCTCTTTAAAAATAAACAAATGGTGCCCGCAGCATAGTAGACGCCTCCTAGATGCGAGTTCCCTTCTCCTCAGGCTTCATTAAAATTACGCAACAAGGATGATTCTCACATGGAGTAAATTGACCAGGACTGTGCAGTAAGAGCTCCCTGGATCATAGTACCCTTCTGAGCAAGTTTCCCTCTTGCATGTTTAGTTTCTGAGGAAGAAAAATTGAGTCACTCGGCTCCTCTTTCCAATAAGAGACAGTACAATTGACCCTTGAACAACATGGGTTTTGGGAGCACCAACCCCTGTGCAATCAAAAACCTGCATGTAACTTTTGACTCCCCAAAAACTTAACTACTGATAGGTTGACCAGAAGCCTTACCGATAACGTAAACACATATTTTGTATGTTCTATGTATTATATACTGTGTTCTTAGAATAAAGCAAGCTATGGAAAAGAATGTTATTAAGAAAATCATAAGGAAAATATGTTGGAGTGTCTGGCTGGTTCAGTCAGTAGAGCATCTGACTCCTGATCTTGGGGTCTTGAGTTTGAGCCCCAAGTTAGGTGTAGAGATTACTTAAAAAAATAATAACAAAATAAATATAAATTTTAAAAAGGAAAGTACATTTATGGTATTGTACTGTACTTTCCCCAAAAAATCCACATATAAGTGGATCCTGTGCCATTGAAGGGTCAACTGTACAAAGAGCCTTTACAATGAGACAGAATATGAAGTCCACATTCAGTTGTAAGCCAAGGTGGTCTCTGCCCTCTCCTGCAAGACCCCAGGATGACAGGTTACCAACAAGAGGCTGAAATTCAAGTTTTGGGCACATAAAGTGGGGGTGTTTTGCAAGTGTGTGCGTTTGCCTGTTCACATGCCCTTAAGCCCTTCATGTGAATAACAGTGGGATTATTGATCACTTTAGAACTATCAGTGACTCTTCTCCACCTCATTAAAATAATGAGTGATCAATTCGACATGAACCCAACATGAGATTTGACCACCACTTCACCCCCCACATCATGCTCAAAGCTCTATAGTCAAAGCAAGGTTTGTGTACTTTCACAGCCATCATTTTAAAAAATCCTTGGGTGGGGCGCCTGGGTGGCTCAGTTGGTTGAACGTCAGACTCTTGATTTCGGCTCAGGTCGTGATCTCAGGGTTGTGAGATCGAGCCCTGTGTCAGGCTCTGCGCTGGGCATAACACCTGCTTAAGATTCTCCCTCTTCCTCTGCCCCTGCTCTCTTTCTCTCCCTCTCTTCCTTTTTAAGAACAAGAAAAATAAGAAGATTCTCGGGAATGTGCTCAGTAAGAACAAGGACCATGCTATTTGCAGTTCTGGTCTGCTGACTAAATCAAACCTCCTACTTTATGAGCATGACAGGGTTTTGATTGCCTCCGTGATTTGTGTTTCATCCTCGAATTGGACATGCACCAAACATACTTTTTAGCAAAAATATTGCATATTCGAGAGGATAAAGCTTAGAAAACAAGTGTTCCAGGGTTTGCATTATGTTCCCAATAATCATATCCAATGTTTTCTTTTTTCTAGTCTCCCAAGTCAGCATTTATTAGTGCTGCAAAAAAGGCAAGATTAAAGTCCAATCCAGTCAAAGTGCGGTTCTCCGAGGAGGTCATCATCAATGGCCAAGTGTCGGTGAGTTGACTGTTGCCTGCTTGCGACTCAGAGTGGCTGAAATAGGGGCTTTGCACAAAGCACAGCCAGTCGCCCCTCTGGAATGGTCAATTGAGAATTCGTGGTTGGATTTCACAGGGCTGCTGAATCTCAGAATTGTAAAGGGCTTGAGAGATCACCATGTTGTGCCTGATGGGTTCCCTCTATCGTATCCAGAATATGTAGTCATCCAGTGTGTCTTTGAATGCTTCCAGTGTTAGAAACCTCACTACTTTGCAAAGAAGTTCATTTGATCTGAGATCCCTGGCATTGCCCCATATTGAGGAAAATAGGCCTCTTTGGAACTTCCACCTGCTTCTTCTCATTGTGCCAAATGAGCATGCTTCCATTATATATTTTGAGAAAGGTTTCCCCTAAGTTTTTCCTTATTCAAAATCAAATGTCTATTCTTTTCACTAATCAAAATGGAAAGAAGTTAAGATGCTGGGAAAGTGTTATATATGCAAGCAGAAGTGAAGAAATATTTCCTGGATCTCCATCAATAGGTCTTGATAGAAATCATGATTGCTCAGGCACATAATTCATCTTCAAAATGAACAGTGCAAACATCAATAGGATGCTGTATTTTTCATTTTTTCCCCCAAGAAAATCTAGCCTCATGTTTTTAGTTTTTAGAAAGTGGTCATCTAAGGCACTAATCATTTTTGGACCTCTGAAATACCAGCTTTTGTTGTGGAGGTTATGTTGTTGCTGGCGGTGGTGTTTAAATAAACTCACAAAGACAAAATCTCGTCCATGACATGCTCATGACGGGTCACAAATTCTTCCCTGAGGGTGGTCCTGGATCTGAATTTGAAGACGTAGGCCTGCACATCCTGAGCGAGGCCCTCCTGATCCACGTGTCTCCTTGTCAAAACTTGCTGACCTGTGTCTGCCCCGCTTGGAGTCTAGGGGTCAGCTGGCCAATCTGTTCAACTACGTGATGCTTGTGGGAGGGGCCTCGGGCTGTCACTGTGCTGCCCTGGGAGCATTTCAGCTGTGGCCTTGTCCTCCCAGTCGCATCTCCCGCCCCATCTCCTCTGTCCCCATTCACCCCACTCTGTTCTGCTCACCACAGTGCCTCCCTGCCCCTCTGGATGCAGTTAGCATCCATTAGCATTTCACAAGACAAAGCAGGAAGGTTCCAGTCGCAGAGGAATCATGGTATCGCAGAAGGTCATCCGAAACTTACCCCATCTTTTCTCCAGCTTCCGAGCACGAGATTGGGCAATCAGCTTGCACATCTTTTTTTTTTTTTTTTTAAGATTTTATTTATTTATTCATTAGAGACAGAGAGAGAGAGGCAGAGGGAGAAGCAGGCTCCCAAGGAGCAGGGAGCCCGATGCGGGACTCGATCCCAGGACCCTGAGATCATGACCTGAGCCGAAGGCAGACGCTTAACCATCTGAGCCACCCAGGCGCCCCAGCTTGCACATCTTTAGAGAGAATATGATTCTAGAAGCTGCAATGGCAGTTTTACTTCGTCCTGGATATAATAGGGCTCATTCAAGGCAGCTGGTGTGTGAGGACAGCTCTGGGGGTCAGTCATCACCTGCAGCCCCCGCTGCCTCCCCACAGGCCTATGTGTGGCAGGGACGTTCAGTCACGTGTCTGCACCTCAACCTTTGGAACCATCTTCATGTCCAGCCTACTCTTGCTCTACCGAGTCATCGTGTGTCTGTTCATGTGGACTTGGAGCCAAACCCCCTTCGTGAATTGGGTAGCAAGAAAGTCATGTGTCAAGTCCACAGGAGGAGAAAGGAGAGGGAGGAAACTCAGAGAAAGGAACAGAAAGTGAAAGGCAAAGAGTCTCTTACAGAAATACTTAGAGATTGAGTTCTCATGGACTATCTGTAGGACATTAGCCAATCTCTGGACATCTTGTCTTCAGTTTCTTCATCTGTAAAACAAGGGACATAGGGTTTCGTGATTGGTGAGTTCCGCTTGACTTCTGTGACCCCATGACCAGCTACATGTGAGAAAAGATTGGCGGAACTCATCCCACATGCCTTCTTTCTTCCCCTGCCATATCTCCCTACTTTCAATTAAAGAGAAAATTCAAAGGAATACATTTCTATTGTTAATTTTTGGTCATGTTCCAAGCATCTCTTTTTGAATTATTTTTAAGTTACGATGTTTGTTATAGACTCAGTGTTTTAATCTTTAACACACTAACCCATTCCTTAAATGTCCCCTTGGAGTTTAAGGAACATTTCTAAATGGGTTAAAAATTATTCCGTAAAGGTTAAAAATTGTTCTACCTTCCTGGCTCAGTCGGTGGAGCGTGCAACTCTTGAGCTCTCGGGGTCGTGGGTTGGAGCCCCACATTGGGCATGGAGCCTGCTTTAAAAAAATTGTTTCCTAAAACAACTTTATACTTCAAGCTTGTTACTGCTTGTTACTCACTTTGCATGAGCTCTGCCAGACACCACATCAAACACCATCATTGCTGGTCCCTGCTCTTTCCAAGATCGGCTGCTCTGCTGAAGTCTGGGCTTGTCCTAAGCATGGTGGCTTAATTACAAAGGAATTATTTCCTTCATTGGGTTTTCCAATGGGAAACCTTGACTTTTAAAAACATTCATCTGATTTATTTTCTGATTGAAAAAAAGTTCTTTCATCTGCATCGACTGAATTATTTGTAGCTGGAAAAGAAGAGTTTTGCTATGAACAACTGAACTCAGATATCACCGGAGGGACACCTTTTAGCCTTAGAGAGTTCCCTTTTTTTTTTTTTTAATGGTGCGATTAGAATACATTGTAGATATATGCTGCTTCTGCAAAGAGCAGAATGTTCATTTGACCTTCTTTTTTGTTGCTGTCATTAAACAGGAAACTGTTAAGGATAATTCACTTCTTTTTATGCCAAATGTTTTGAAAGTGTATCTGGAAAATGGGCAGACCAAATCATTTCGCTTTGACTGCAACACCTCCATAAAGGTAAGCGGACCCGCTGAACTCCACGTGGACACTGGCAGGTGTGGCTTGCAAGTCCCGCTGTCCACCTCGTGTAGCAGCACCTTCTTTCAGAACTATGTTTATTTCTGAGATGTTTTTCGGTTGTTTCCAAATAAAGTAGTGTGTGAATACTTAAAAACAAACTGGGGTAAAAAAGCTTAAACTAAGAAGGTTGTGCTGTGCGTGTATACGTGTTGCAAAATGATATGATAGGCTCTCAGTGACGAACCACTAGGGCTAGTCATTTGAACGCAACTCCAGTTTAATTAAAAGAGTGTGACTGTCCCCAAGAAGGCTTGGCACCCTGCCTAAAGCCAGAGGATTTCCTAGCAATGTCAGCCCCCAAGAAGATGAAGATGCTAGCAGTTAATTGAATATCTGCTCCTTTGGTGTCCAGCAAAAACAAGGGGTAGGATAATATAAAGATAGCATTTACTTTTAATTGGTGTAACCAATTTCATGGAAATGACACCTAAAAAGACAGAAATGAGGCATGCTTCTTAGGAGAAGGGGTAAAAAGGAAGAGTCACAGAACAATCCTATTATTGCAGAGCCACAGGTGAGTTTTATGCAATGGGTATTATAGCACAGCAGATGGGTTCTTTCCCCCCATACTTCCTTCCTGGGAAAAAAAGTGCATATTCTATTTTTTATTGGACAAAAGTGTGTGCAGAAATTGGTTGCTCCCTAACACTCCAGCAGCCTAAAATAGGCTTTCTTCAAATGGTACCATAAAAGAGATTTTATTGAGGTTTTAAAAAAAAGTACCTAGTGATGATCTGTATAATAATGTATCAAGTCTGTATTAAAAACGTCTGTCAATAGTCAACCCCTAGTTCTCAGTTTTGTAAATTAGTCAGCATAGACCTTACGAGTGGAAGCATTTCTGCAAAGGCCCGCTCCCTTATTGCCATGATACCAACAAGCAGCCTGTTTGGAATTGCTTTAAGTAGGTGCTGATGTAGCAGGTTATAGAGCAGATGGTATTCTAGATTAATAATGGAGCCGATAAGCCATCCTTAAATCCTTCTACATTGAACAATCAGCTTCGTGCAAGACCACTCATTTCAAATGGGGGTGACTGACAAAGTCCTTTTCCTTTATTCCTACTCAAAATCCGTGTATGGCAAGGTGTTACTCTTATTATTGATCTGCTAGCCTAGAGGTGGGCAGACTTCTGGAAGAAGAGTAAATATTTCCAGCTCTGTGGCCTATTTGATCCCCCTTGAAACTACTCTGCTCTGTTATATCAACAAAGCAGCCGTAGATGGTGGGCTCAGGAGGCCCTTAAGTCCACCCTTTGGTTCCATAATTCACTTGAAGGACTTGCAGAACTCGGCAAATTGTTATAAGCACAGTTACAGGGATTTTTTTTTTTAAAGATTTTATTTATTTATTTGCGAGAGAGTGGAAGCGAGAGAGATCACAGAGGGAGAGGGAGGAGTAGACTCCCCGCTGAGCAGGGAGCCTATGCGGGACTCGATCCCAGGACCCCAAGATCATGACCTGAGCCGAAGGCAGACGCTTAACCGGCTGAGCCCCCTGGGCGCCCTCACAGTTACAGTTTATCACAGCAAGAGGATCCCAGTTAAAATCAGCAGTGGGCAAAGGTGCATGGGGCAGGAGAGTTTTCCAACTCACAGTTTCCCAACGTCCTCTTCCTGTGGAGTTCTTCGGACCTTGCTTATTTCTTCCAGCAATCACACGTGACAACATGTGTACGGTACTGTTAACCAGGGAGGTTCACCTGAGCCTCGGTGTTCAGAGTTTTTGTCAGAGGTTGGCCACATAGACAAGCTGAGCACCCGTGGGGCTGACTCTAGTATCCTGCTCCTCCAGAGGTCGTGCTGCCATCACTTGGCCCAAGGTCCTCACGTTGTTGCATAGGCTGTCTGCTATCTCTCAGGCTCTCAGGTGAACAGACACTCCTATCAGGCACTACACTCCAAGGACTTACAGCTTATCTCCCAAGAGCCAGGAGCAAAGAGGCAAACCTTTCTTGAGGCAAGACGACTCCTTTCCTACCCAGACAATATGTAAATGAATGGGCGTGGCCTGATTGGACGCTAGGGCCAGGCCATGGTTTGCAGAGCCCCAAGGTAACCCATAGCGCCGCATTATCAGAACGCCCCCTGCTACCACGACTTGGTCTGTGATACCACGTGGTCAGGAAAGCTCCTTGCCCTTACACCCCCTCCCCCATCTGAAGATATAGGTCAAGACTTGAATGCATTCCTTAACAGAAATACCTCTAAATTTCAAAGAGAGCCCTGTTGTTAATTCCCTCTGGCCTTTTTCTTAGGAACCCACACTGGAGTGAGTCTGATTTCCCTGAGGGTGGCGAATGGCCATGAGAAGACAGGGAACAGCAAATTCAAGCTTGCTTTGCTTGTACCTAACAGCTTTCCTATCGCCGCAGACACGGGTTGGGAGGCGTAAAATAGAAGGGATATTATGAAAGGGATACGACACTGTTTAATAAAAATTGCCAAAATTCTTGCTACAGAATCACAGCGAGGAAAAACTACTGCTATCGATTTTCTGGTGTCCTCCCTGGTGTTTCAGGAGACTATTTTATAAAGTATGTGTTGCCACACAAAGGCTGCTTTTGTTCGTTCTTTTCTGGGCCTTGAACAAAATTTATGACACAGAGAATCTTTTTATGAAATTCAATATATAATCAAGGCATTTCTGTTGAATGATGTCTGTGGCGGTGGGTGGGTGTGGGGATCTTTGTTTAAAGGGGCCTGGGGAAGCGCACCGGGCTGGCTCAGTCGATAGAGCGTGCCACTCTTTGATTTCGGGGTTGTGAGTTCAAGCCCTACGCTGGGGGTAACGTTTACTTAATAACAAAAAAATAAACAATAGCAAAACAACCATTAAAGGGGCCTGAAGAAATTGAGAAAGGTCTACAGGGAAGAATCAAAATTTCAAAAAGATCAGTTAAAAAAAAAACAAAACCAAACCTCTATGTATTGCAGAGTTTTTCTATCTTGGCATTGTGATACTTTGGACCAGGTAATTCTTTATTGTGGGGCCTGTCCTGTGCATTGTAAGATGCTGAGCTGCATCCCTCAATATCGATAGCAGCCCCAACCCCCTTGTGACCACCACAAATGTCTCTAGAAATTACCAATTGCTGTGAGGTAGAATTGCCCCGGAGTGGAAAAGCACGGCTCTTTGGGATTTTTAGCATCTGAGTATAAATTATCTTGAAGAGAGACCATTTACTAGTTTTCGAGTACATGAAAAAAAATGTGGTTTTTTTTTCATTTTCAAAGACATCTGTTTTGCATTGCAGTAAACATGTGCTTGTGTATAGAACACCTATCTGATCATAAATGTTTAATCCTGTAAAGGATTGCTAACAAAGCTTGCTCGTTCTACTTTCCCCAGGGATTTAAAATAAAAGCTAATATGTGTATATCGTTATAGTGCCCTAAGTCTGTATCAAATAGTGCTACAGTAAATGTGTTCTCTGTGTGAACTCATTTAGTCCTTATATCTATTCTGAGGCAGGTATTAGTATCATCCCCAGTTTATAGATAAGGACATCAAGACACTTAGAAGTTAAATAACTTGCCTAAAGCTGCACAGCTAACATGAAGTCAAGCTGGGAGTAGAAACCACTGTTTCCAGAGCCCACATTCCTGACCACTACCGCATGCTCTTACCAGAAGGAGAGACTATGGGCACCTGGGTGGCTCAGTCGGTTAAGCATCTCTTTTTTTTTTTTTAAGATTTTATTTATTTGAGAGAGAGAGAGGGAGAGCACAGAGGGAGGGTGAGAGGGAGAAACAAACTCCCTGCTGAGCAGGGAGCCCAACGTGGGTCTCGATTCCAGCACCCCGGGATCATGACCTGAGCCGAAGACAGAGGCCCAACTGACTGAGCCATCCAGGCACCCTGCATCCGACTCTTGATTTTGGCTTAGGTCATGACCTCAGGGTCATGGGATCAAGCCCTATGTCGGGCTCTGTGCTGAGTGTGAAGCCTGCTTAAGATTCTCTCTCTCCCTCTGCCCCTCCCCTTTCCCCCTCCCCGGCTTGTGCTCTCTCTCTCTCTTAAAAAAATTAAAAAAAGAAAAAAAGCAAAAACAAAAAACCAGAGGTATAGACTAGGGGTCAGCAAACTTTCTCTGTACAGGACCAGATAGCAAATATCTTAGGCTTCACAGAGCACACAGTCTCTGTTGCCGATGCAAGGGGCAAGAGCAGCTATAGACAATATGTAAACAGATGAGTGTGACTGTGTTTCAATAAAACTTTATTTACATAAAGAGGTGGTGGGCTGGATTTGGCATACAGGGGGTATTTTGCCCACCCCCTAGAGTAGAGCATTTTCCAAGGTGGTTTCATTGCCGCCCCATTTGGAAGAAAGGAGACCCGAACCAACTCCACTCCACCATCTGTTGATCAGTCTTTAAGTTCAGTAAGCACCTCCTCCAGCTAGTCAACTTGTTGCCTCCCTGTTTCTGAACTCCATAATGATTTGGGGTGGTGGGTGAGGTCAGGAAAAGGAGCATCAAGCTTCGGAATGAACCAAAGGTATAATGTAAAGATCTGAAGCCTATTTGTGCAACACTTTTCAGTCCTGGTAAACTCTGCAAGAGAGCTATGCTGATTTTGATGGCATCTTGTCCATGTTTCCTCTGTAAGGATGTCATCTTGACTCTTCAAGAGAAGCTTTCCATCAAAGGCATTGAACACTTCTCCCTCATGCTGGAGCAGAGGACGGAAGGGGCCGGAACCAAGCTGCTCTTGCTTCATGAACAGGAGACTCTAACTCAGGTGTGTGAAATTACACCCCCAGGTGAGGTCAGAGGCTGCCCGGCCCCAGAATTCCCCTGTCCTCGAATCCTTTAAATGTACTCACTGCAGCTGCGTGTATCCCCACTAACGAAAGCTCTGGCATTCATAATGGGTTTTACATCTCAAGGTAATGGTTCCCTTTTTTATCAATTTTTCATAGACTGTCAGTCGGTGTCACATACAGAATTGTCAAAAACCCAGCAACTACTCGCTGGGAATATGGCTCTGTAGGATTATATTTTATGTTACGGGAAATGATTTGTTCACCTGTTTTGACCACTGATCTCTTGAAACCCTTAAAAAGATACAGCTTCTGAGATTACTTAAACGAAGCCAATATCATATTTCATTGCCTTAAGTTCTGGGTGCATGCTCGGAACCAACATCATATTTCATTGCCTTAAGTTCTGGGTGCATACTCGGAACCAACATATTTCATTGCCTTAAGTTCTGGGTGCATACTCGGAACCAACATCATATTTCATTGCCTTAAGTTTGGGTGCATACTCGGAACCAACATCATATTTCATTGCCTTAAGTTCTGGGTGCATGCTCGGAACCAACATCATATTTTATTGCCTTAAGTTCTGGGTGCATACTCGGAACCAACATCATATTTCATTGCCTTAAGTTCTGGGTGCATACTCGGAACCAACATCATATTTCATTGCCTTAAGTTTGGGTGCATACTCGGAACCAACATCATATTTCATTGCCTTAAGTTCTGGGTGCATACTCGCGACTATTTGTGGAAGCTTAAAATCCCTGCCCCAGTGCTGCGCACTGTAAATACGTGATCCGCCAATGCGTCCCAGTTCCTGCTTTACCAAAACGCCACCCCCATCTATTCGCTCGGGAGACGAGCAGGCTGCTTGGCTGCTGAATTCAGCGTGGCACCCTGACTTCTCTTGTGATTCGACACAAGCAGAGTGTTTGCTGGAAGTATAAGGGATTTCAACATGCTCCTTTTATGTGGGAGAGCTCAGTGATAAGGGAACTTTAGGCAGGGAGAGGGACATGCAGGGAGACCAGGAGGAGAAGCAAGGAGTCAAGGTGCCCCCAGATGGATAGAGTAGCTGAAGGTGTTGTCACACTAAAGTGCTTCCTGGTCGTTGCATAACTAGAAGCTGGTGTCCCACAAATTTGCTCCCACAATATCCCTAAACCTCTGGATTCGGTCCAACTTAGTGCAGGGAATTAGTTACAAAGCTATCGTTTGTGTTCAGTTATAGCCCTCCACCTACATTTGACCTATCTTTACCAGTTTTAAATTGACCTACAGATATTTGAAATCACGTCTCGTGTTGTTCATTATTTTAACCTGTGCCAAAACTCCCTTGGACACAGAGGACTTCTTTTGTACTTGGCTCTAGGGGAACAAGCCCTGATAATGAGAATCCCCCATGTGAAAGGTCATTGTCTGGCTCAGAGTTCCTCCAGACGCCGGACTTAAGACAAGGGCTTGGGGGCACGTGGTTCTTTGGGAGGTGATAGCAGGAAGCACTGGGAGAGGATGAGGAAGGGAAATGGGAAAAACGGGGGCACCAGTAGAGAGCGTGGTAATGAGCCAGTTTCTACTGTGGGCCACTGGAGTTCAGTCCTACTGGGGAGCACTGCGAGCCAGCGGAGAACACGCCTAGAACATACCTGGGAGGTATCGCACCTAAGCGGCGGGGCGCGGGGGCATTTGTCCTTTGGTGGTGGTGGTGGGCTGCTCCCGAGGGCAGTCGGTCCCCTGCTCTGCAGGTGCCTGGTGCCGGCCGATGGTCACAGGTATTTGCAGTGAGCAGCCTTCAGCTGGTAGCGGTAAATGCTAAGGGCGTAGGGGCCAACAGCCAGTTGCTGTGAGTCTAATGAAACCTCCCACAACTTCCTGATAGTTGTGGTTAGACGTTCCCTCTGAACTTCTATCTACTACATAGCCTTTATGGGAAAACTGCTGGCTGATGATTTTAGCTGGACAGCGATCCTTTCAGAGTCTCTTTTGGTGCTAGGTACACATAATTTCTCGTTCCAGATTGATTTCCGATTATTAAATCTCTGTTAGAATGTTAGAAGGAAACAAAAAGCCCCTAACCCTGACTCTTCCCTTATCTTTCTAGAAGAGGCTTTGTTTCAAGTTTAGCCAGAACTAAAAGCGAAGTGTTAAAACTTCAAGTATGCTCTCTAGAAAGAAAATTGTTTGATTTAAATCTCCTGAGACAAACCAGCTATATGCCTCTGAAATCACTGCATATGAAAAGCTTGATCACCAAAATATTTATAGGCATGGCAGAAAGGGAGAGTAAGTATAAGAAATGTGTCCAATAACAAAATTCATTTAAAACATTCAATTTTGGTGAAAACCCTCAAAAGAACTTTTAAACAGCTCTGAGTTTCTGGCAGCTTATAACTAAACTTTACATAGAAAATACTATTGTCTATTTACATACTACTGTAAGTTTCGAGCAAATTGTTTTCTTGTTTGTTTTAGGGACTGCTCTTTTTATGGACTGCATTTTTTAATGAGTCTAAAGCGCTTTTTTTGCATTACATGATTTCTCAAAACTAGTGCAGCCTCCTGATGATGAAAGTAGACTCAAGATCGCTTGTGGAAAATTCGGGAAAGATAGATTTTTAACCAGTAATGAAATGATACCCGACTTTCTAACCCCAGCCCAGACCTTCTGACAAAATACCCTATGACATCACCGTACAACCCCACAGCAGGCCTGAGCAGCACTTTGGGTCTCTTAGAGTTCCCACATTTTCTTCTTCCTGGTTTGGTTGACCTTCAGCTGGTGATGAGCAGCCCCCAGCCCATGGGGCTGGTGAGTCCACTCAGGTCTGTAATCCCGCCCACAGCCAAAAAGCTGGGTCAGTGTTACTACTTTTCAGTATGCCTTATACCTTTAAAAGGAGTGTTTTCCCATTGAAATTCTTCAGCTCAACAAAATTAGCGATGTCAACTGGAAGAATGCACACACACAACATGGGGTTCAGTAAAGCTATTGCTATTTTTATTTTGAATTTTCAGTTGCCGTTCACCAACATTTTTATTTCGCCAGATTTTTCCTCTGTAACAAAGGAGTTACAAGGCCATGAAGCTACATACAGATACATAGAAAAGCACACACAAGTACATGAAACTACAAGTAGAGCAACTGTTGGTTCATGGTTCATGGTTCAGGTGCATCATGTTGACCTCTTTAAGGGAAATCGAAGAGCTTTTACCTTCTTCCTTGGAGTCCAATGTCTTGTATTCATTTGGCTGTTTATGAAGCACCTACTATTACATTGGCTGATTCCCTTCAGTTGCAAAAGGAATTAAGAGGGGCGCGTGGGTGGCTCAGTTGTTAGGCGTCTGCCTTCAGCTCAGGTCATGGTTCCAGGGTCCTGGGATCAAGCCCCACATTGGGCTCCCTGCTCAGCTGGAAGCCTGCTTCTCCCTCTCCCACTCCCCCTACTTGTGTTTCCTCTCTCTCTGTGTCTCTCTCTGTCAAATAAATAAATAAAATCTTTAAAAAAAAAAAGGGAATTAAGAAACGTAACACCTAGTAGTTGGCCTACACTGTACTGTAAAAGAGGAAAACAAAACAATCCATGGTCCTTAGACCTGAAGAACCTGCGGTGTATTCTAAGCTCCCTTGAACAGTGTCCTGTTATTGAAAGTTTGGGGTAGTTTGGAAACTTGTGGACTCCAGATTTAGTGCTTGGGCCAAAACTTTTGTTTTCTGACATTTACAATGCATTGTTATCCAAGGTTGACAAGGTCCTGCTTTCCCTGCTGCAGTCAGTCTGGGGTCTCCTTTAGAAAGAACTCACAGCTGTGTCATACAGTACTCTCCCTCCAGATCCCCTTTTTGACCCCTCACCCCCACCCTAGTTTTGGTCAGCTATCACTTCCGGCACCAGCATCTTCGGATCTTCTTCAGAGGACTACCCCTAGACTGTGGTAACCCATTCTGTCCACACCTGGAAATTCACATCCCCCTGGGACAGCCTGAAACCAACGGCTGATCTGTGGTCCTTTGGCTCAGGTCCTGGTGGCTCTGCGGTGTAGATGATCCTCCTGAGTCCCCTGTGGGTCAGGCTGTATCTACCCACTGCTGCGCACTCTGCCTTTCCTTGGCTCCTCTCCTGCCTGACCTGCTCCCCCCACTCCCTTACCCATCTCTCCCAGAAGCAGTTCCTTAGTAGGTCCCTCATCTCAGGGTTGGCTTCTGGGGAACACAACCTAGGATATATGCAGCTTTCAGGGAGTATCTAGGACACATCATAAAAGAACTTTGACCACTTCCTTCCTTGGTGTTGAAATGAAGTTGCCCTTTGCTTCTGCGTCCCTCTGCCGGCACTGAAGGATTCTTGTGTTTGGTCTGATCTTCTAGGTGACACAGCGGCCCAGTTCCCATAAGATGAGGTGTCTTTTCCGAATTAGCTTCGTCCCAAAGGATCCAATTGACCTTTTAAGGAGAGATCCAGTTGCTTTCGAATATCTCTATGTTCAGGTATGTGAGAATTTGAGCACGTTTTATATTAATATTGGGGGATAAATTAAATGTGGCGTTTTGCCCCTAAATTCTTTCATTTGGCATCTTCTTTCTTTGTCCTCCACCCCAAGCTCCGTGCATTGTGAAATGATTCCATGGTGTTTTTTTTTTAATTTTCCCTTTGGATTTTGAAATCATTTCATACTTAAGAGCAAGTTGCAAGAGTAGTAAAAGAACTCTTTGATAACCTTCACCCAGATTCACCAGTTGTTCACATTTTACCATATTTACTTTATCTTTAGTGAGAACACATGTTCCCCCGTGTGTGCACGCATGCGCGCACACACACACGATATTTTTCTGAACCACATGAATGTCATTTTCCAAATCCTGCTCATTTACCCATAACTACTTTAGTGTGTATTTCCTAGTAGCAAAGACCTTTTCTTACATAATCATGGCATAATTAACAAAATAAGAAAATTTAACACTGATACATTTCTATCCTAGTGTACAATCTATATCCAGATTTTGCCTACTGTCCCCAAAATGGCCTTTTTCTTCTAGAAATTCATTTTCTTCTAGAACAGGATCCACGCCAGGATCTCATTTTGCATCTAGTTGTCATGTCACTTCAATCTCCTTAAGTCCAGAATATTCCTCAGTCTTTCTTTGACTTGCAACACCTTGACAGTTTTAAGGAGTACTGGTCAGTTATTTTGTAGCAATCTCTCAATTTGGGTGTCTGCGAGGTTTTCTCCTGATTAGGTTGAGGTTATGTTATTTGGGCAGAAGAAAGACATGCGTGACTTCATGTCCTCATTAGTGCACTACATTGGGGGGCATGTGATGTCCATTTGTCCCCGTAATGATGAGGTTAACTTTGACTCTTGGTTATAGTGATGTTCTCCAAATTTATCCATTCAGAAGTTACTAGTTTTTTTGTAATTAATAAGTAATTTGTGGAGAGGCACTTGCAACTCTCTTAATACCCTTTCACTCAATGGTTTTAGTATTCACTGATGGTTCTTGCCAGAATCCATTATTACTGCAAGGGTTCAGAATGATGATTTTTCTAATTCCATTATTTCTTCTTCATTTATTAATTAGCATTCTACTATAAAAAGGATTTTCTTTCCCTTCTTTATTTACTCATTTATTCATTCACTTTTTTTTTTTTTTTGGTGCTTCGATTGTTCTGAAATGTGATATTCCTTATAACGGAATAATTAATTTCAAGGCAATAAGATTTTAAGAAAATGGTATCTTTTGCAGACTGACTATCTCCAGTTCTGGGTTATAATTCTCAAAAAACAAGGCTTCAAGAGATGAGAATCTTTGCTAGTTTGCCCCAGAGGGAATTTATTCGTTTGACATTTAGGAGATGTTCCTGTATTTTTCCATAACTGCTTCCCATTACTCTCACTTAAATTCCCAGTACAATCACATTAAACAGTAAGAACCTGTTTACCTGAAGTTTAAGCATCTCACATTAGATCTACTCAAAGAGACTGTAAACCCAAATGTAACCTCCCCTGACAAAAAAAGGAGAAAATGCCAAAGCAAGGCAAAAAAAAAAAAAAAAACGTAGACATGCTCCCTTTGGCTGGCGTACCTGTATAAGGCAAGGATTTCTGGAGCCATAAGAAATAAAAAGCAAAGAAGTTGGAAAAAGAAACCTTTGTTAATTCTGGGTAGTTGATACACTGGTTTTTGTTTTCCTATTCTCAACATTTTCTTGTATATTTCAAAACTTTTGTGGGCTTTAAAAAGTTGAGTGGAAAAAGAAAACAGGTAGAAGATGGCGGAGAGACATAGACAGGATAAATGCCAGAGGTTAGGAATGGTGACATAAATTAAAGTGACAATAAGCCCTAGAGAACAGAAATTAAGTTGAAGGAGAAAAAAGCAGAATATGTACCAGAACATTCCAGCAGATGGGGCACTAAGGGCAAGACCCGCTTAAACATTCCCCACCTCAGTGGTCTTTGGAAGAGACTGTGGTACTTGCAGCTCAGTAGGATGATTAATGTTCATGAAGATAACCCTGCGTCATTTGGAAAAGGCAAGTCCTATTCAGCATACCCTGTTCATCAAGTAAAGAAATGTGCGGTGCACCTTACACCGTTTTCTACCCAGAACAGTGAAACTGTCATGACCTGGGTTTTTTAAATGTTCAACTTTGGTCACCTGGACCCCTCAACTATATGCCCCCTTCCCCGGCAGGCCGAATAACCCAGATGTGACTGCCTCGTCCCCCTATTCCTGTGAAGACCCAACCCTGGTCTCTGCCATAGCAGCTCAGAGGATATGCTAGGTCTTTTAGCTTGTTCGTTGCAAGGAAGTAGTTATAGGTGCCCGTCAGCGCATTGGATGCATTCACTTGTCGTTCCCTATAATTACGTATGCCTCCCATTCACAAGATGATGTTTCCAAACCATTTTACTCTGCTCCTGTTCTAAACATCCCATTTAAAAATGCCCATTGCATTTACAAAAGAGGAATGTGGTTGTGTTTCCCCTACAGAGGGCCGGCCTCTTAGGTAGACCAGAGGTACTGCTGAGCACGATTCTTTTTTTAAGGCGTGTCTACTCAAACCTGATGCAGTGCATAGAGAGCTCCCTTATTCAAAAGATACACTTTTTATACCTGTGGGACCGCACTAAGAAGCGGAAAACCTGCCGGTGATCTTACCCAGGGACTCAAAAAACACGGATGACGTTTCTGCTTTCCCACCTTGGCTGTTGCATGGCTGGTGGGCTAGCCAGTCACCCCTTCAAGGAGTATCCAATGGAGGGAGGGAGGAGGGTGGGAAGCCATGTATGGTGGACCAAAATTAAGCTACCGTCATCTCCTATGTCCCCCACCGAGAATAGGAAATGAGAATTTCTTGACATCAGACTCTGTTTCACAGAATGTGAGGTATGGTCTAAAATAACTTACCTGTCTGACATAAGTCAGTGGATCTGCAAATGGTGCTGGGTGCCCATATCGATTCTAAGGCACTAAAAAGATGCAGTAAAATTAGCCTAGAGAACAAAAGAGTAAACAGAAACGATATAGATCATATTACAAAGACCAAACTCCGTTCAGCTTTGTGGGTTCCTGTTGAGGATAAAAGCCATTGACTCTAGATGAACCATGACAATGAAAACAGAGGTACTATCTGCTAACCTCCTGCTCGCTAATGGGCTGTGAGGTATTTTACAGATTTTAGCATATATAGTAACAGAAAACCCTAACCACTCAGACTGTTGAAGTTCATGATTACCTGTCCGCTATCTAGGAAGAAAAAGATGGTTACAATGATTCGTAAACAGGACAACACCTAAGAGGCTACGAAATGTTTTAAAACACTTGGTGCAGCGTTGGTTTCCTTTTTAATATCTAACATGTCCATTGTAAATGAACTTTCTTAGACCTAAGTAGAGTCTATGATGTGAGGACCTCCATTCAGCAAAGCCATGAGCACCATTTGCTTGTGTTGACTGTATTTTAAGTCCTGTAGTTATGAGTAATAAAAGCATGATCTGTCCCACACAATATATATGTCAGACTTCACACTAATTCTCCAGGATCCATCTGAACTAATTATATAATGTAATTAAGTGACTAATCACCTTGACAAAAACCTCACCCAGAAGTCTGGTTAAACACAGGGTATGAAAAGGGTGGGAAACAACAGTCCCAGTCACAACTCTTCGGAGAAGTTATAGTGGTGACTCACCCTAATAAAGCGCATTCCAGTTTATGCAACATCCTTAAGAGGTGTGCCAGCAGCCTTGAGAGTTAGCCCACTTTTCAGGTAAGAAAACAGACTTGAGAGATGAAATGCCATGTTCAAGGTCATTTGATTAGTAGTTGACAGAGCCTAGGCTCAAAGCTTTTGTCTCTAAGTCCTATGCTAAAATCCTGTTTCACACATGACATGCAATAGCAGTCCTAGGAGAAAGCCATTTATTAAAATGATTTACCAGCAAGCATCAAGGGCTTGTGATGGCCTGGCACTGTGCCCGGGGGCTTCCCCCACCTCCCCCTCACAAGAGCTCCACCCCATGGTGCCCCTTTATGGACACCCCTAGGCACTGGGAAGTAACTGAGAAACCCAAAACTAGAACAAAATGGCAGCCTGGAATGGCACTCAGAGGGGGCCTTCACTCAGCCCACCCTGTGTCCCGCCCCCTGTCAGACCTGCTTCCAGTGAGGAGTGCTTGCGGTCCTGACAGGTGTAAGGTGTGAAGGAGAAGCAAAGGTAGAAGACCGTCTGAAGGATGGAGGCAGGAAGAGAATGGGACTTCCCTCTTAGGGGTGAAGGGATAAGCCGAGAAGCGCGAACCTGGACCGTGGGGACAGAGCATGCGTTGTACGGCCCCACTAGGGCATGGGTAAGTATTTGAAGGGTAAATATTGTGCGCAGAAACCATATAGCGGTACGTGTTCGCACTGAGTCAAGTCAACATAGGAAGGGGTCTCAAATGTGCTGTTCTTGGAAAAGAGCCAAACAGAGTCTGAGACAGTTTTTGCATTTGAAATCTCGGAACAAGGCAAACAAGGAAGAAGGAGGCTAAATATCATATTTTCTAGTCCAAAAGCCTAGTTTTCCAGAACAAAAATGCATGCGCACAGATAGGCAGAATGTAATGAAGCAGTGCCGTGCTTCCCGGCAATGTGCAGCTCCGTGCTCTGCTCCTAACGAGTGAGCACGCCACTGGAAAGCCAGTCACTGGGGTCACACAGGACTTGGCACGTTTCTCAGCCCCTCTTCAATTTGATGCTCACCACCCTGTGATGTAGGCATCTCCCTCTTACAGATGAGCAAACTGAGGCCCAGGGATATGGGATGACGCCCTCAGAGTCCCAGCAGGGGCAGACACCACTGGGATGAACCGAGGATTTCAATAGCAACCCTTTACTGAGCGTACCAGTGCGCTGCGATGATATGTAGCTCATTCAGTCTTGGCACCACCCCCAGTGAGGTCTTTGGCACGAATCCCCATTGCACAGATGAGTAAACTGAGGCTGCAAGAGGAAAGTAGTTGAAGTTACATGCGCGGGGGGCATTGGTGAAGCCAAGATTCCGAAGCGGGGGTGTGTGAGTCCAGAGCTGCTCCTGTCCATTGCCTTGCTAACTCCACCTCCCAAAAGCTGCTCTAGATAGCGAAGAGGACGTTAAAGACGTTGGTGATGACAGCCGTGTATGCCTACAAACACTTAAAACGTACCAGGTAGAGTCCTAAGGGCTTTATGTTGTTCAGCCATTTAGTCCTCACCACCACCCTGTGAATGGGCAGCAGTATTGTCCCCAATTTACAAAAGAGGAAACTGAGGCACGGAACAATTTAAGGAGCTTGCCCAAGTCCCCACCCCTCTGTAGCGGAAGAATAGGGTTCGAACCCAGCATTCCAAGCCCAGCAGAAGGTACTTGGTGCTGTCCGTGCTTTGCGTGTTCCAAGCTACATTCCTATTATTCTTACAAAAAGCTAAGTATTTCAGTAGCAGCCCACTTGTCGATGAATGTTGGATGTTTTGTGTGGTCTCTGTGTGTGTGCATGCAGCCCAGTTCAGACTGGGCTCCATGCGGCCTGGTGGAAGTGTTTCCACGTTTGGCCTCCTCGCCTTTGAAGCCAAGGTTGGAACTGTGGGGAAGTGCGTGTCACCTGTCCCCGGGACAGCGCGCTGCGGCCCATTCTTTGACCCGTGGCGCCCTCTGCTGGTCTCTTTTTGCAGAGCTGTAACGACGTCGTGCAGGAGCGGTTTGGGCCTGAGCTGAAATACGACATAGCCCTGCGACTGGCGGCTCTGCAAATGTACATCGCAACCATTACCACCAAGCAAACGCAGAAGATCTCTCTCAAATACATCGAGTAAGTGTTGAGCCTCAGAGCCGTTTCAGGCACAAGGATGCTGCCTCCGTAACGCCCAAGTGCGATTTGTGACGTATGTCTCTATTTCCAAAATTGATCTTGTTTGTGGAAGGGCTTTTGTTCAACATGGGCACAATGTATGAACATCGTGTTCGTTTTGGGTGGAAGAGATCCACTTCTTACATAATCCACCTTTAGCGAATTGTGGTTAAAAGGAGGATCAGATTTCAAATGAAGCATACGTTTTAGAAGTCCTAAACGGACTTGATTTTAAGCCAAGCTTTGGTCTCCGTGCTTTTCAGACATGAAGGTCTTTGATTCTCATGACGTCCCTAGGAGAGCAGTAGCATTTTAGCTGTATTTTACAGATGAGCCAACCCAGGCACCGCAAGGACAAGGGAGACCTTGCCCGAGTCACACGGCTACTAGCTAGAGGGCTCAGGATTCGAACCCAGGCAGTGCAGCTCCACGGGGTGCTCCACGTTCGTGTGATCAGTGGAAGCACCTGTGTTTGGAAAGTGGCCCGCACCACCTGAGATCGCTTCAGGGGGCTAAAGGGCAGTATCAAAGTAACGCTCTCGGTCACAATCAGGAAGGATGGTATTTGTAGTAAAAAAAACTGTAATGGTGGGAAAGGGTGCTACGCGATCACACTTGGCTTTGGGATTCGAATGTTGTTTGGGAAATGTGACTGCCTTCTCTGGCTTGCCATCGGCATACACTCCGACCTCTTTGGCCGGAGAAGATCCCCGCTTAGAAATAAGCAGTTTGTGTTGCCTTCAGTTAGGTCTCCTTAAGGGTGGTCCTTTCAAAGAGAAGCCTCTGTCGCCCGGTCTGTCGGCTTCCCGGTGGTAGGTGACTCAGAAGCCTGAAGCTGCCACAGCTCTCTTAACCTTGGCAGCGCTGATGCTAAAGAAAGGAACGCTCGTAGTTTCAAAGTTTATGGCAGGACTGAAGCCACATCTCCACCTAACACTGAGAGCCTTAGAGCCCTCTCCATCTGCACAAGTGATGTACACGCTCATTGAAATCCCACCTTCCCAAGAAGCTGTAAAGCCTTTCTAAATTCCTGCATGCCAGCTTGACCCACCAGGGAGCAAAATGGCTGCTTCTCAACAGAGTTCGTGAGCCTGTGTGCGGGAGGATGAGAGCTCCAGGTCGCTGACTCCGAGGCCCGTGTTCTCACGACTCTCAGTTCTCCCGTCTACACCGAGGGACAAATCCTCGTGTGCAGTTCGAGAACCTCAGGCCTTCCCTTCTTGGCCCACTCTTTGTCGCAGGTGGCTTATCTCTTTGTTGCCACACAGGCTGTGAGTGTCGCCTGAGAGAGACTCGGCTCACAGAGAGGTCTTACGCGCAGCTGGACACATTCGCTCCCTCATCCGTTCCCCTTTTCGTATGTTCCTGGGCACGGATGATACTGGCCTCCATGTGAAAAGGTGGCCTGAACAACCTGCCATGGTTTTCGGACCATTAAAATGCATTTCTGTTCCGATTGTCTGTCCCCACATTTTACCAGTTGGAATATGGTACAGGCAGAAACCTCCCAGAGATAACTGGCTTGAGTAAGAATGTTCTCATTAATTAATTCACTCACCCAACACCTATTCACTGAGCATTTTATGTGGTATTCATGCTAGGACAGTGGAAAGTACAAATAAGCGTAAATTATAATCCTGAGCATAAAGGACTTGTGATCCGATTATAAAGATATGAGGGGGGCCTGGGTGACTCAGTCGGTTGAGCGTCTGACTGCAGTTCAGGTCGTGATCTGGGGATCCTGCTTTGGGCTCCCCACTCAGCGGGGAGCCTGCTTCTCCTTCTCCCTCTGCCCCTCCCCCTGCTTGTATGTATGCGTGCACTCTCTCCAATAAATAAATGAAATCTTTAAAAAAAAGATATGAAAAGTTATGATTTAAAATACTGATACAAGTAGAATTACCAGGCACCCCATAAGGAGTGCCAGGTGATGGGTAGAAATATGTGCAAGTGGAGGAGAAGGAGGACATGGTGATCATGAAAAACCTCACCTTAACTAGCGATGGCATGGATGGTCAGGTGGGGGAAGGCCGTCTCCCTACCCTTCTTTGGAGAGGATCTGGCACAGGAGAAATAAGCAAACCTTGAAGGTCTTTACAGTATTTAGGAGACACTGGTTGGGCACCTAACCAACGAGGATAGAGTTCAAAATATGGAGCACTGTTGGGCTAGGGCTGTAGTCATTGCTGGGGAAATGGGCCCTTCGTAAACCTGTATTAATTAACCCAGTCCTATCTGTCTGTGTTTCTTGTATATGAACACCTATTGGTGATGTTTGCACCTCCCCATCAGTGCCACACATACTTAAGGGTCATGAACCCCACCCTGACTCCACACACACACACACACACACACACACACACCAGCAAGAAATGTTGCTTGAAGGACCCAGACAGACATCATCTGGCCGGCAGAGAAGAGACGTGTGTATTTCTAGTGAAGCAGCCATTGGGGAGGAGGAAGGGAAGAATGGTTTGGGGGCCTGAAGGAGTTGCATAGTCCCTTCTAAGTGAAGAGAGAATGACCGTGTGGGCTGACAGGGAGTAGTAACAATGGCGACAAACAAAGGAACTGGGAGAAATTGTGTTGGAAATACATACTCAGGTATGTGAATGAATTCAGTGAGACTCCGAGGTGGGTTGGATAAATCGACTCTTCAATTTCCATTGGTCCCAAAGGCATTCTCCCTGGAGAAGGAAGACTATGTTTCCTTTAAAATGCAAACAGATGTATTACTGTTCAGATAGTATGCTTTCTGTGTGTAAACTCGAAGTTGCTTCCCTAATTGGGGACCTACCTCCATTTCCTGACTTCCTCAGAGTTCGTTTCTTCCAACATACATCAGAGCGCCATTTTGTCGTAGATAACTAATCATCACAAGAATGAAATTAAAGATATGCTCTTTATTGCAGAAAAGAATGGGGATTAGAGACTTTTCTTCCCTCTGCTGTGCTGCAAAGCATGAAAGAGAAGAACATAAAGAAAGCACTTTCACACCTTGTCAAAGCAAATCAAAACTTGGTACCACCGGGTAAAAAGGTATCACATTTGCATCTTAATAGAAAATGGATTTTAAAGAGAAAGGCTTGCGTGCATTTTTAAAAATGTTTAAAATTAGCCCGTGAATAAAATACTTGGCACCATATTTTCATAGGCAGTAACTGTATAACCCCAACCCCCCCCCCTTTTCCCCACTATTAACCTGTTTCTAAGGCTAATGAAAAGTAAGTGTTCTTATGGAAACTTATTTATTTCTTGTAAGCTATGGACTTATTACACGGAGAGTGTATGTGTTCCCGTGTGCGTGCAAGAGAACCTTGCATAGCCACTGAGACCTTGTGATTAGAGAACAGAATTGCAAGACAATTGTACATTTCCATCGTGCTCTTGCTTACCACTCAGACTGTCTTAAATGCACAGCAGCCAGCAAGAGTCCTCGCAGACCAGATACCGCATTATTTAAACCACAGTTGGTATGTTGACATTTGGAATCATTCTTTGCTGGGGGAGGGAGAGGGAGGGAGGCCGTCTTGCTTCTTGTGTGATATTTAGCAGCATCCCTGGTCTCTACCTACAAGAAGCCCTCAATCATGACATAGAAAAATGTTTTTAGGCATTGCCAAATGGGCCCTGGGGAACAAAATCACCCCTGGTTCACAACCACTGAATTAAATCTTACTTTCGAAGGGAAGGTAAAATTATTTCTACCATTCACCATCGTTAGTGTTAAAGTCTCCCTTATTTTTTCTTTTATCAGAAGAAACAGAAAGGACATTTTAAAATAGATTGTGGGTCAGAATGGTGAGTTATGTTTATAGGTAATAAAAAGCAAAGGGTTTCAAGAACCAGAAAGAGGAACCTAAAAATACAGGATCTATAAAGTCGGAAGCAGTGTAACAGCCCGAGAACACTTAATGGTTGATATTGGCCATAGAAACTTGGGTAGCTCTAATACAAATCACTGTTTATGTGGGTAATTCTTTGGTCTTGGTATTGGGTTGTAAGTCATTTTTACTGGCTAAAACATACTTATTGCTATTCCCTTCTCACCCCATGGCTTTTTAAAAATGTAAAACCAGGTTTGACACCCTCCAGCCACTGTTGCCTTACTTCCTCATTTCTGTAAGCATTCAGCTCACAGAAATCTAGCAGGACGTCAAGGATCTCTCAGATTTTGTAGGGGTGCCGGGCTGGCTCAGTGGGTAGAGTGTGTGCCTCTTGATCTCATGGTCATGATTTCGAGCCCCGCGTTGGGGGTAAAAATTACTCAAATAAGTAAACTTTAAAAAAAGAAAAAGATTTTCTTTTTTTTAAAATTTCAGTTCTGATTGGCCCAAAGCTAGTTTCTTTCAATTGGCTCCATAGGATTTTTTCCAAGCATGGCCCACTGGTTTTGTAACAATTCGGTTAACTGCTCTAGGATCTGTCTATCTCTGTTTTTCTATAAAGGTCAGTTTCTCTAGCCAAGAGTGAGTGGTTTGCTTTCAAATCAATCTGCAAAGTGCTCTGGGTTTTCGAAAGGAGGAGGATGGCCGAACAGTGCTAACTAACAATGCCATAAAGGGTCATGCATTTAGGTATAGTTAACAACCAAGTACTCCTTTTAGGATGTGGGAATCTCCCTTTTTAAGTCTTTAAAAGATAACTTTTATCTGGATAAAATTGTATTTTTTATATCCTCCCCGAAACTCAAAAGATGCTTGAGTTGAACTAATCAAACAGGGACTTCTGGCAAGTTCAAACATTTCCCCAATGATTGGAGCACAGAAAGGTCACTTTCCCTGAAAACTTGCAAAAACTCTGCCAAACTTGAGATGAGTGCGGAGAGCCTCTTCCACGGGCTGTATGTAGATAGCAGGCGTGTGTTCAAAATGACTCCCACAAGCTCTGTGCACAGGTGAGTCTCCTGTACACGACGCGCGTGGTCCCTGTCCACGATTGGAAAGCACCACTCGACTCTTGAAGTCTCCAACGAGGAGACATTTCAGTGGACTATCTCACCATCTTGTTCTCATTTGAGTGCCCTGGCCCAGCATATCCACGTTTATGACCCACCCACCCCCATGCATTTCCCCCCAGATAAAAGGCTTTCATCCGGATGCCTCGATGCAGCCCTTTATCACGAAACCAAATATATAGCAATTTACTTTTGCTCCTTGCCACGCCCCATCTGTTGGCAGTGAGAGCACCCCGGTTCCCAGTGGTGTTTAGCTGGTCTCCAGCAGAAACCGAACCACACCCACTGGCATTAACACCTGAGGTTTCTTCTCTCTCCTCAGCTCTCTGCACTGCAAGCCAAGGTCCACTATCTCAAGTTCCTCAGTGACCTTCGACTGTATGGGGGTCGTGTGTTCAAGGCAACATTAGTGGTAATTGCTTTTTCTTGCTTTCTCTTGGGAGCTACAGAAGCCTGCACAATGTCACTGCATTTCTAAGCGACTGCAGCACAGTCTGGAAATACCAGAAGAAATGTTAAACTAGATAGCGCCACTGCAGAATGCCCTAGCGAAAGAAATATGAAGAACCGAGAGAATCGATGCACTCTAACAATGGCCTTCTTTTAAATCATTGGGCCAGAAGTTGCTTTCATGCTAAAAAAGAAAAAAAAAAAAAGTCCCTATTTCTAAAAGTGTCTCCTGATTAGGAATATATGTGCTATGATAACGTTTATTTCCTACATTATTCATAATTGATCAGCACCTCGATGCAATCGTAGTGCCTGGTTCTTCTAATTGGATGATTTAGTACAATGTAATCGAGAAATACTTGCTAAAGAAAATGTAATCTTATAAGAACAGACTCTCAGGCTCAACTCTGCATGGTGCTTTAGAGGTCTAGGATTTTTAGGCTTTGTCCACATCTCTCAGCAGGCGGAAAAGCGCTCGGAAGTGACCCTCCTGGTTGGGCCCCGATACGGCATAAGCCACGTCATAAACACCAAAACCAATCTGGTGGCTCTTTTAGCCGACTTCAGCCACGTCAACAGAATCGAGATGTTTACCGAGGAGGACAGCTTGGTGCGGGTGGAGCTGCACGTGCTGGATGTGAAGGTAAATCTTTCAGCTGTTGACACAGCGCCTTGATCTGAATAGCTCATTTGTGATAACACCGCTAATATTTACAAAGCAGTCGACATTGTACTGTGGGCAGAGGATCAGAAATGTGAGGAGGTGCAGAGAAAAATCACCCAACTCCGGCCCGAGGGCTCCAGTCCTCACTAAAGAGCCATGTAATCTGGGGAAAAGTTGCTCAGCTTCTTTATCTATACATGAGAAAGCCAACGAGTTCATTTCTAAGGTCCATTGTAGCTCCCGAGTGCATGAATCACAGAGAGTGGGAAGGTTTTTCCCTGCTAGCCTTCTAGAATATTCCTGTGCAGAGAGTCAGGGAGATTTTTCCCAACTTTGTTTAGAACTCCCGTTCGGCCCGTATGTGTTTATTCTTTGGGGAAAGCTGAGCATTTCAGTCTGTCTTTTTGTGCTGTAGCCATTCGTACTGACTGAACAGCGGGCCCCTATGAATGTCATGGCCATTCCATTTAAAACAACAATCTGGCATAGTCCTCAAAGGGCAGAACTCGACTCCCGAAACAGAAGTTGACGGGAAATAATCCCGGTCCCCTGCACACAACCTTCTTGTCCCAGTAGTAGATGAGTCATTGGATTTTGGCCATGTGAACACATCTATGTTTCCATGGAGAAAAGGAAACCGTGTCAACCAGGAGGAGTGCTCTGAGAACAGGAGAGGGTTCTGTCTACACAGCAAATCGAAAAGACTCTGTGTACTCTGCGGCGGGAAGAAGTGACCATGGAAGGGAGAGTATGGAGCTCAGACATGGTGGCCATGGCTGGTGGCACCTCATGGCTGAATCCAGGGGCTCCAGTTGACTTCATGGCAATGAAAGTGCAAGAACAGACTTGGGATTCCTGGCCCACTCCATGAGCAAAGATGCTAAGAACAATGGGCCCTTTGTAGAAAGAGTAGGGAGAAGAGTGAATTGGGTGCAGTCATCACACACCTGATAACGGGATAATCTGACCCAACAGAAGTAGGTGGCAAGACCCTACTGGTGGTCTCCTGCTTATAGGAAAGAATTGTGCGATGCCTTGAGGGAAGACCTCAGTAGAAATGGAAAGAAAAGTCAGGTTATCAAGTAGTATGGGGGCTTTTGGTGGGATGTTAGATTCCACTAGCCAGGGCCGTCAAACGTGGCCAGGGTCCTATACCTGGGAGTGAAAGTAAGAGCTGGTCACCTCGACATTTCTGTGCCTCTCTGGGTGTCTGCTTTCATGTCGCTCCCTTATTCCTCTCAAGTTCCCTCTCTCTCACCAAGAACACACCAGCCAGTCTACCCTTCCTAATTCAAGGAGAAGAATTGCTTCAACTAACCACTTCCCTATATGCCCAAGACTCGTCTCCAATCATATATATGAGAGCCTCATTGTTTCCAGAAAGTTTTAGCAAGGCCTTTTCTCAACTCCCATCTCTGTTTTGCTCTCCTGTGAATTTACAATTTCTTTTTCAAGCATCTTTCTCCTGGATCTTTTTGACACTTTTCCTTCAGTCTTAGACGTAATTTCCACTTGAGTTTTTACTTCTTTTCAGCACTAATTTTCACTATGAACCCAAATTTAACCTTCCTGTGATTTTTCAGCTCGCAGGTTCACATTTGGTAACTGCCTCCTTAACTCTCACTTTCTTAAAATGTTAACTCTTTGGAAACAAAACCAATGTCTACTTTTTTTCTCCCATTCCAATATTACTTGGGAAGATTCAAAATGTCCACGTTTTCAAGATGGTGTCACCTAAATGTTTTTCAGCAAGGCTCTCGGTGTTACTTCTGACCTTCTGTGTTTCTCCAATGAAATGGTTGCTCAGGAACTTTCTTTGTTGTCACCTGAGGGAGCTTCTTAAGGAGGGATGGCTTTAACCAAAATATTCTCTTTTGTGTAGCCCATCACACTCCTGATGGAATCATCAGATGCCATGAACCTGGCCTGCTTAACTGCTGGCTACTACCGGCTACTTGTGGATTCCAGGAGGTCAATATTTAACATGGCCAACAAGAAAAATACAGGGACCCAGGAAACAGGTATTCTCTTCCTAAACTCATGAAGCACTGACCCCCCCTTCCCCACCCCACCTGACAACAATAGGACGTTTCTTGAAAAGTTAAAATTGTGCTCATACAAAAATCTAATGTCCAAATTTTATACAAGAGCCTTCAAATACTTCTGATGTGGTCTAATTCTTTTTAATGAAAATGTCCATCCTATTTTACTTGTCACTTGGAAATGCTGGGGAACGTGTTTCAAAGGGAATGATTTTCCTATTCTGAAGGTAGTAAGCATCAGTCTTTATGACTGAGTTTTTATTGCCTTGCTCTTCCAGAGGTCAGGATGCGGAGAATTAATGATGGAATGCACAGTGGGAGTTGTGAACCCCCCGTCTTAGGTCTTTGCCCTCCTTAAGGGGCCCTAGGCCTAGATGTCTGGGCACCTCCTTCAATGTCAGACTTACATCCAGGATTCTGGGAGCTCTGAGACCCACTGGAGGACTTAGGGATCACCCAGCACTTGGACTTGGGCCTCTAGAAGGAACCCTAGCAGCCATCTTAGCTCTGTAGTGGGAGCATGGAGATGGCAAAGGCATCAAACAAGTTCAGCCACTTGACAGGACAAGACAGCTCACAAGTGAGGACAAGGAGGGCTGCAGTATTAACAGCTTCTCTGAGAGTGGGTGGTTTTCATTTGCTTTAGAATTTGTTTTCTTTAGTGTTTGATTATTTTCTTCCGTCTACAGTAGACACTCAGTAAATGTGGCTGATGGACAGACACTAGCCCTCAAGCCAGAGCTGCCGACCCATGAAAAAATTATAATTGGGGGTTCCGTACTCAGGGTTTCTCTTAAAAGAAAGGGAAGATCTTAAGAACAAACTCCATTGTCACCATTTCTGAAAGGGGGTGGGGGGAGGGAAAAATCCTCTCACTTTCAGACTTAGCAGAAAACGTAAATCATTATTCCCTAAATATCTTGTCCCTTGTAGACACACACAACCCAATAGGCTCGCGCGCAGTTTATGATGATGGCCGGGTAGGGGGGAGCAGTTGGTCACAGGACGCAGGGAAGCCTGAGAGAAAACGAGGGAGATGGACGAGGCATGCCAGAAGGCAACTTGGAATTACAAGTGGAGAGGATCCAGCCCCACCTGGAAGTGTCTGGTTTTAATTTCTCAAAGTTTGGGTCTTCTCGTTTGTAAAATCGGGATCGAGAAGCTAGCTGGCAAGGGAAGGGTTTGGAAGGAACTTGTGTACAGCACCTAAAAGGATGCCCGAGACTTCTGTCAACAAGGGGCAGGGAAGCAGGAGTGGGAGAACTTAAGAAGGAAGGTGACAGAAACGGAGAAAAGAAAGGAAGAGAGACATAAGGCAAGGAAAGACCCTGAGACGTGCAAATGATCCAAAATAAACGGGAGGAAGAAGAAGGCCGTGGCGAAGGTGGGATCACACTTTTTTGAGCTAGGAGGTTTCGAGCAATTTTGCCCCAGCCTGGGAAATTCTGAAGATCAGTTCTGCGGTGTAACATGAGCCTTTTGCATTGGAAAACCGGTTTTTGGCTCTTTATTTTCAAACCTTGAAGTTGGTCTTGAAAATAAAACCTTTTTTCCCCATAGACTGTCGAGATTATACTGGTGCGGGAAGAAGACGAAACCTACAATTTCAAAAAGAGTCCCAGTAATAAGGGCCTCCATTCTGTCCAGTTGATAGTGACTCACAGTGTAATGTTTGATCAGGTTTCGAGGGGGGAACACTATTATCACCATGGGGAAAGAATGGAACTTCAACCTTTTGGTAACACTGAGAATGAGGGTTCCAGGTATCTCCCTCTTGCTGGGGCGTGTGAGGAACGTGCCTGTAAGCAGCGGGCGCTGAGGGAGAAGAGCGGGCATGCTCCAAGGAGCACCTAGTTAACCTGAGCTGAGCAGCGGCCAGGGGCTTAGCACCCTCTCATGGTTGCAAGTTCTCTCTCCTCTTCCGAAACTCCCCCCACCACCCAAGAAGTGTAGAGAGTGAAGTCTGTTTGGACCCGTTCATCCCTGGTCCACACTGTCCTCCCACAAGATTGGGCCATGGTATAGACCCCAGTTCCTAACCCACATCCTTCTGTGTCTCTAAAATCATTCCAAAAGCCAAGTCAGTACACCCTTCTGGAAGGAAGCCAAGATTGAGTGTCTGTTTCCTTCCTATCTCAAATTGATCAGAGACCTTAGTCAGGATCTCTAATAAGGAACAGCAAGCCCCCATTTCTTCCCTATCTTGAAAATGAACCTTCAGTTACTTTCAGAATCCCTGAACCCACATATCTATGCATCTCTGAGCATTAGGAGGCTCTGAGGAAGTATCAGTCAGCCTGTTTTAGCCTGCTGATCTGTTCAGCTTTCATGTTGTCCTAAACCAGAAGTTGGCAAACTATGGCACAGGGATCAAATCTTGTTCTTGTAAACAAAGTCTTATTGGTACTCAGCCGTGCACATTGTATTTGTTTTCCTAGGGCTGCCATGACAGGTTATCGCAAACCCTGGGGTTTAACGTAACAGCAACTTACTCTCTCACAGTTCTGGTGGCTACAGGTCCAAAATCTAGGCAGCAGCAGGGCCATACTTCCTCCAAAGGCTCAAGGGGAGAATCTTTTCTTGCCTCTTCCAACTTCCAGGGGCCACCAGCATTCCTTGTGGCTGCATACCTCCAATCTCTGCTTCCGTCTTTACACAGCCTTCCCTGCTTTCCTGGGGGGCTTAAATTTCCCTCTGCTTTCCTCCTATGAGGACACGTGTTGTTGGATTTAAGGCCCACACAGATAATCCGGATGAACTCATCTCAAGATCCATAACTGAATTATACTTGCAAAGGCTCTTTTTTCAAATAAGGTCACATTCACAGAGTGGACCTATCTTTTGAAGAGGCCACCATTCAACCCACTCTGTGCATATTTTTATGTGTCAACGCTGGGTACTTCCATGTTAGAACAGCAGAGTTGAGTGGTTGCTCGACTGAGCAGTTGGCCCACGAAACCTAAAAATGTCTACCACCTAGCCCTCCCTTTACAGGAACAATTTGCCAGCCACTAGTTTAAACCCAGAGCTCTGTCATAGCTTTGCTAAACTACTCTCTGTCTTCCAGCAATTCAATCTCCTGACATATGCGAGCATGCGTTACACACACAGCCCCGCACACAGCCAGTCGTAATCGAAATTGTTCATAAAACAATGCTGAACCCCCACAGGTCTGTTTATCATAAGGTAACATGTACATATGGTTCTTATGTAGCTCAGTGTCTTCAAAGTTGTATCTTTACTTGCCATTCATGTGAAAATATATGCATTTAGCTAAAGGACTTGGAACAACATTCAGCATTGAGTTTAATGTGTATAACTTGCGGGAAGCAAAAACATCTTGGGTAGAACTGATTTTTTTCCCGTATGTCTTGTACATCTGATGTCAGTATTATCCATGCCTAGGCCAGGGGGCAATTTGAGGGCACTAATGGGAGAATATGTGGCCCCAGCATTTCCTCTGGAATCTACAAAGCAGTATTGACAGAATGACACACTGCCTTGTCTTGTTAAATGTCAGAGCAAAATTTCCACAGCAAAATTCCCTACTGGAAGACCCTTGAGGAACAACCAAACCAATGATTTTTAAATTAGGGTTTTGCAATTTTAATTCATGAGGAACATCAAACAAATCTTCAGGAGTTCTCCTGATACCAATAAAAATTGAAATTAGCCAAACTGTTAACTATGCTTAGAAATAGCAGAGAGGGGAAAAAAGAAAAGAGAAGAAATAGGGACACCTGGGTGGCTCAGTCGTTAAGCATCTGCCTTCGGCTCAGGTCATGATCCCAGGGTCCTGGGATTGAGCCCCGCATCGGGCTCCCTGCTCGGCGGGAAGCCTGCTTCTCTCTCTCCCACTCGCCCTGCTTGTGTTCCCTGTCTCGCTGTGTCTCTCTCTGTCAAACAAATAAAATCTTAAAAAAAAAAAATCTTTAAAAAAAGAGAAGAAATAGTAGAGAGAAGCACATTACTTGTGATGTGCTCCACGTTATGCAATCATACACGTGTGCATATGCATAACCTTTATGCGTGAATATCTTAACACCCACTAGGATATACAAAGGCTGAAATAGAGGTTTTTGTGCTATTGTTACAATATTATCATATTTTTATGTATGTATATATTAGATTATTTTTATTGTGACATTATTACATTATCATTACAATATTTCCTAAAATATGTGGTGGAAGTATGAGGTTCCTTGACTTTCTCTTAACTCAATGAGGAAAAAGTCCAACATCTTCGTCCACAAAGTGGGGGATGTCAGATCTCGCTTTACCGAGAAAAGGGGAATCTATTTTCTGGAATGACAACTGATTGGACTGTGGCCTTTAAGGAATTTGAAAGGCATTTTGTATATTCCCATTCATAGACAGAAATGAGGTCTTCTAATAATAGAACCGAGGGTCAGAGGGAGTTAAGCTGTAGTTCCTTATTCTCGGATGGTATTCTTTTTTTTATCAAATAGCAATTACATTTTGTGCAGGACTGATTTTGTTAAGGTCAGTTCTCCTAACCAGGAAATCCTGACACCGGAAGCCTCAATCAACTGGTACCATATCCGGAAAGCTGCATGACCATATTTACAAAAGTGATGATGCTACAAGCCATGAAATTAAGAAACCAGGCCTCACAGTAATGTTGTCTTTGCATGATTCTTTCTCCTTAGGAACTGAAAATAAAGGAAAGCATAACCTCCTTGGCCCCGATTGGAACTGTATACCCCAGATGACGACCTTTATTGGCGAAGGGGAGCAAGAAGCCCAAATAACATATATAGATTCAAAACAGAAGACGGTCGATATTTCGGATGGCACCTTGTGTCCCAAAGACCACCGGCACCTGTATATAGACAACACCTATAATCCAGACGAACTCAACCAGCCGCTGACCCAGCCGGGGGATGCTCCATGTGAGGCCGACTACAGGACTCTAGCTCAGCGGTCCCTGTTGACCCTCTCAGGACCAGAAACACTAAAGAAAGCCCAGGAGTCTCCGAGAGGAGCTAAAGTGTCCTTTATTTTTGGAGATCTCGCCTTGGATGATGGCATGAATCCCCCGACTCTCGGCTACGATAGACTATTGGAGGAGAGCCCAGAACTGCTGGAGAAGCAGAGGAATCTCTACATCGGCAGTGCCAATGACATGAAGGGCCTGGATCTCGCTCCTGATGCTGAGAGCATCCAGTTTGTGGCAAATTCCGTTTATGCAAACATAGGTGATGTCAAAAACTTCGAGGCTGCCGAGGGGATAGAGGAGCCCCTCCTGCACGACATCTGTTACGCAGAAAACACCGACGATGCAGAGGACGAGGATGAGGTGAGCTGTGAGGAGGACCTCGTGGTGGGAGAGATGAACCAGCCAGCCATCCTCAACCTGTCTGGGTCAAGCGATGACATCATTGACCTCACGTCCCTGCCCCCTCCAGAAGGGGATGACAATGAGGATGACTTCCTGTTGCGTTCCTTGAACATGGCCATCGCCGCACCCCCACCTGGCTTTCGAGATAGTTCAGATGAGGAGGACTCCCAGAGCCAGGCAGCCTCCTTCCTCGAGGACAAGGAGCCAGGCAGAAATCTGCAAAGTGACGAGATCCCCGTGTCCCTCATTGACGCTGTGCCCACCAGCGCTGAGGGCAAGTGTGAGAAGGGCCTGGATAACACCGTGGTTTCCACGCTGGAATCTCTAGAAGCTCTGTCCGTGTCAGAAGAACAGCAGACCAGTGACAATTCAGGTTCTTTCACGATTGTTACATTTATTCACTGATAACCATGCATTGCATCCTCTCAAGCCATTTACCCCCGAAGTCCTGTTATGTGCTGTTCTCCATTTCACACATGTCCCGTTTCATAAGTGTGTCGAAACTACCATCGTGGGTTTTTTGTGTACGTGGTTTCCTTCGTTTTTTTGGTTTTTGTTTTTTTAAATATGTGGCACGTATTTTTCCCCATTTCTGGAACAATTGTGCAATAAACTCAGAGTCCTTACCGCAAAGGGAAAACCTTGGTTTTTTGTTTGTCTTTTGTTGTTGTTGCTGTTTTATAATAACGAGTCCCATTTTCTTACGTGTCTCCTAATGCCTCTGATGCATCCATTAATCGGCTCTTGTCTTTTACGACATGCAGGTGTAGCCATCTTGCGGGCTTATAGTCCCGAGTCTTCGTCAGACTCGGGCAATGAGACTAACTCTTCTGAAATGACTGAGAGCTCTGAACTGGCCACAGCACAGAAGCAGTCAGAAAGCCTCTCCCGCATGTTCTTGGCCACTCACGAAGGCTACCACCCCCTTGCAGAGGAGCAGACCGAGTTCCCCACCTCCAAAACCCCTGCCGGGGGCTTGCCTCCCAAGTCCTCCCACGCCCTGGCCACCCGCCCAGTGACTGACCTCCCGCCCAAAGTTGTGCCTTCCAAGCAGATCCTTCACCCAGACCCCATGGAGATGGAGCCTGAAACCATGGAGACCAAGTCGGTCACTGACTATTTTAGCAAACTGCACATGGGGTCGGTGGTGTATTCCTGCACCAGCAAAAGGAAAAGCAAGCTGGCCGATGGGGAGGGGAAGGCAGCGCCTAGTGCAAACATGCCAGGGAAAAAGCAGCAGGGGACCAAAACGGCCGAGGCAGAGGAGGAAGCCAAAGGTAAATTTGGTACTGTGTCTTCAAGGGACAGTCAACACCTAAGCACTTTTAACCTGGAAAGAACTGCCTTTCGCAAGGACAGCCAAAGATGGTACATGGCCGCTGAGGGGGCGGTGGCCGAGCAAAGTGGATTGGAAGCGGCAACGGGGATAACGTTTCCGAGAGCTTCTGGTCTGGGGACAAGGGAGGCGGAAGAGAAGGATGAAGGGGCTCCTGATGGAGAAGCCAGTGAGGTTTCAGCACTTGGCCAACGGGACCACTTCTTAACTGACGTGACCTGTGTATCTTCAGCCAAAGACTTAGATAACCCCGAGGATACTGACCCGTCCACCTGTGACCATCCTTCCAAGCTTCCCGAGGCGGAAGAGAGCGTGGCCCGCCTCTGTGACTACCACTTGGCCAAGCGGATGTCATCGTTACAAGGCGAGTGCCATTTTTCTCTACAGAGCTCTCAAGGCTCGTCAGTGGAGGCGGGCTGTGGTACCTGTGCCGCACCTGTGGAGTCCCCACTCTGCCCCGCTATGGGGAAGCACCTGATGCCCGAGACTTCGGGGAAAGGCATGAGTTACGTTCCTTCTGAGGAGAGAGCCGCTGGGCTGCCCGCCCACGGAGCCACCTTTAAGGAATTACACCCCCAGACGGAGGGGATGTGTCCGCGGATGACAGTGCCCGCCCTGCACACAGCTATTAATGCGGAACCCCTGTTTGGCACTTTGAGAGATGGATGTCATCGACTCCCCAAGATTAAGGAAACCACAGGTACAGCAATGATGGATTTAGCGCTTTGCATTACACCCCGGAAGCATGTAAGCCAGATTTACAACAAACCTAAAAATATAAAGTCTGGAAGAAAACTAAAAGTTAGAATTTTGTTTAAAGGCTGCAGAACTGTGGCCAGGTTAACTATCGGTCATTGATTCCGCCGCCCCCCTTCCCTGTGTTTAGTGAACACTGAAGTTCCTAGATCAGGAACAATGTGGAAATGGCGTCCACTCTTGAGAATCTTGCTGTGTGCTAGCAGGACTTTTGGTTACAAGACAGTATGACGTAGAGTCCCAAGAGTTTGATGTCCCTCTCAAGATCTCGAATTTCTCTTTCTGCCATTTTGTTATTGAGGGGCAAGGAAGAATAGAGCAGGGTAGCGGGGAGATCAAAGGGGTTGGGGAAGACCATTTGCCCTTCAGCAATACTTAACATCCCTCCCTACTCTGTAAGACTCTCTTAGAGACGTGTTCTTCAGTATCTGGCACATCTCGGTGTCAGGAAGGCTCTGGGGGTACGCACGACGAGCTGCTTTATTTTCCACAAAAGAATGGGGCGCCTGGGTGGCTCAGTCGTTAAGCGTCTGCCTTCGGCTCAGGTCATGATCTCCAGGTCCTGGGATCGAGCCCCGCATTGGGCTCCCTGCTCGGCGGGGAGTCTGCTTCTCCCTCTCCCTCTGCCTCTCCCCACTGCTCCTACTCTCTCTCTCTCTCTCTCTCTCTCTGTATCTCTCTGTCTCAAATGAATAAATTTTAAAAAAAATTCTATTTTCCCCAAAAGAATAAAATATAAGCACAGGTAGAAACAAGAACACAGCCACCTTCTGCGCCCATCTTCACCATTCTGCCACCCAGTGGGCACACATTCCTCTCACCGATCCACTCGGCCAGCCGTCACGTGGCAAAAACCAGATGTTCTTTCATACTCTCAAATGTCAAAGTATATCAACAGTGTTGCTTCCATACTAGGTCAGTAGATGGTAGGGAGAGCTTACCTTGGTTCGTTTGCAGCCCTTTTAAGATGATCTCCTTTCACAAAACCCACCACTGGCATCCCCAGCCTTGGGAAACTGGTCTATGAATGTTCCTTAACTTGTCACTCCGCTAGCATCTTGACATCTAATTAAAGCATGCTGTTTATTCTTTCGTGGTTTACAAAGAGCTTTCCCCTAACTTCCCTCTTCTCACAAAAATTCTGCGAGGCAGAAATATTTTCTTCACATAACAGCTTTTTTTAAATTTTTTTTAATTTAAATTCACATGACAACTTTTTTTTTTAAGATTTTTATTTATTTATTTATTTGACAGAGAGAGACACAGCGAGAGAGGGAACACAAGCAGGGGGAGTGGGAGAGGGAGAAGCAGGCTTCCCGCCGAGCAGTGAGCCTGATGCGGGGCTCAATCCCAGGACCTGGGGATCATGACCTGACCCGAAGGCAGATGCTTAATGACTGAGCCACCCAGGGGCCCCTCACATGACAACTTTTTTGAGAAAAGCTGGGCAACTCGCCCAGGGTCTCTGCTTCAAACCCAGCACCAGGCAGACCTCGTGGGGTCCTCTTAAAAAGTTGACCTTGTTTACTTTGCATTCATTAAATTAGACCATTAAAAAAAAAAAAAAGATAACTGATGCCAAAATTAACCTAACTCCCTTGAAATGAAACTTCAATGTCATAAATATGTTTGCATAGTCGAGATCTAGGAGGTATGTTTTCTAATTACATGTCTAAACGCTGATAGATAAATACTGGGGGCAAGGCAAGTCATGAAACGCCATGGTCTCTGAAAACGACTGTGATTGCTAGCCAATTCCAAAGAAATCCGTAGTTTCAGAAATAACAGATTCCCTGAATTTCTTGAAATGTGTTGAAATGGAAATCTGATGAGATCTCAGGAGGCAGTCTTTGAAAAGGCGGGTGACCCTGGCAAATGGCTGCCCTTCTAGAGTGCATCCTCGGGCAGTGACAAACAGCATGTAGAGATTCAGTGAAAATGACCACCCATGAGATGCTTAATGATTCTCTCTGTTTCTCTGCTACCCCTAGTGTAGCTTTGACAGAGCCTGGGAAGGAGAGACGAGGAGGCATGCCTTCAGCTTGGTCTCAACATCCTGAAGCTGATCCCATCCTGCTACCATCAAACATTCACTCGGAATCAAAGGTGCCAATTCCAAATCAAGACCCTAATGATTTCTCCCAAGCAAATCTGGCATACGGAGAGGCTGTGAACTGGCGGCCACTGGATCTGAGAGGGGGGAGCCTCGGAACACCCCCCAGCCAGAGGGCTCTGAGGCGTAGCAGCAGTATCCTCTTGGGATCTGTAGGTTTGGAGACCTTCCAAGAGAGAACCAAGGGTGCGGTCAGCTTAAAGTGTCCAGGTGTCACGGAAGCACAGGAGGCCAGCTCGGAAAAGCGAGCAGAACTCCCCCTGGGGAAGAAGCTCACCAAAAGTTTTTCCCAAAGCTCGATGTTCTTTAGCTCCGAGGGGAAAGTTCACAAAAGGTCCCCGGTGGCTCACAAAGACTCAAAGCTGTATAGGACATTACCCTTGCGCAAGCTGGAAGGCAGCAATTGGAGATGCCGGGGACCTTTCAGCTACTGCTTCCTGAACCGAGGGCAGGATGAAGACGGCGATGAGGATGAAGAGGAGGGAGAGGCCACACGCCAGGTCTCTTGCCTCTTTCGACCACAGATGACTCAAGCCATGCCAGAACCAATCAGCCCACCTCTGGCTGTTGGGATTCGGAAGCAAGGAGGGGAGCTGACCAGAGGGTCAGTGCTGAAGGTCTGGGCAGACGACCTGACTGGCCCAGAGGATGCGGACTTTAGCAACCTGGCCTTCGATGCCCGGATTGCAAGAATCAATGCCCTAAAAGAGAGCACGTATGCAATGCCTGATGGGTTCCTTGCAGCCCAAAACGATGCCAATGAGTTGCTCTGCCTTGTCAGGGCAACAAAGGGGAAGAGAGAGGAGTCACGCCCTGAAGCATATGACCTTACGCTTTCTCAGTACAAGCAGCTGTTGTCCATCGAGTCCAGACAGTTGGGAAGTGCCTGTAGGAAACTGGCGATGGCCGAGAAAAGCCCAGAGGAGATGCTCCTAGCTATGACTTCCAGCTTTCAAGTGCTCTGTTGCCTAACGGAAGCTTGCATGCGATTAGTGAAGGTCGTGAACTCAGAAACACAGCGGCAGGAAATCGTAGCAAAGATCAATGAAGTGGTCATAAACTATATTTGTCTCCTGAAAGCTGCAGAGGCAGCCACTGGAAAGACCAGTGGGGATCCTAATGTTGGACTCTCGGCGCGACATTCAACCACCATGGCCGCCCTCGTAAGCACACTAATGCGTTCTCTCAAGATGCTTTTAAATAAATAAAGTATGAAAGTCACATCATAACCTACCTTTGCAAAGCCATACATGAACGTTTATTTACTTTATGTGTACGATGAACAGATGTCTCCTTTCTTCTCTCTGTATATTTTGTTATTTTATATAAAATAGGAGATAAAAGTCACACTGATGAAATGTTGAAATGTACTAATCAGACGTATTCTGTTTATATTATACATATATATACATGAAAAAGAAATATCCAAGAAAGTGATGACATTTGGCTATTTTTCATATAATTGAAACTCCAGGTATATGATGTGAAGTTTTAAATTCTACCGTGTTAGAGCAAAACAATGAATCCTATCCCCTTTCCCTCCCAAGCGGATACTTGGAGACCATATCATTCATGCTTAGAAGTTAAAAGAGAAAGAGAGAGAGAAAGAAATCACAATGTATATAAAACAGTACTTATGTTTTAAAATTACAATTTTTAAGCATTGGAAATAGCAAAGAAGACATTTAAGATCCAAGAAGCTATTATGAATTAATAGAGAATATATATAATAAATCAATTTTTTGCTCATAGTGTTTGGTTATCTGATGCTTTCTTCCAGGAATCCTACATCAAATTTAATTTTGGCTTATGCCATTTGGACTAGAAATTGGGGTGCGGTGGATTCTATTGTGTCACTAGAAATGCTCTTCATGATGTTTCTATAATTAAAATACTTCCCAAATAGAAGAAGAGAGGTAACGATGGGCAGGTTCCTAGGCAATACCTAGAGTTAGAGATTATCTAATTACATAAAATGAAAGGAATGAATAACATCAAAATTAAAAAAAAGAGAGCTCTCCTTTGATTTAATGTCAAAATATATAAACCAAAGACGTCATCTTCCTCCCCACCCCAACTCAACCGTGAAACTTAGAATCCCATTAAGAGTGACAGAACATTTAGTGAAGTATTTGCAAAATTACAAAAAGCCACAATCAAGGATCATCGGAGTCAGTGCAGATCCAGTCCTATAAAGTGGACAGGACACCAGCCTATGAGGCACGGCTCTCCGCATAGAGCTTTGTGCATCACCTCTACAGGGCCAATGCTTCCAACCAAATTCGGAATCCCAGCCTAACATTGGGACAGTTTCAAATCCGGAATGTTCCAGAAAATCAGGGAGAGATGGCTCCTCTAATATAGAAGCCATGATAAAGTATTCAGTAGAAGTTCTCATTTGGAATGGTAGATAGAAATAGGAAAGCTGGGTGGAAAACAAACAAGTGGTAAATTTGACCACTTCCGGTGAAACTGATGGAACATAAAGAAGTCTTCAGAACTGTCCTCTGTCTACAAATGTATCTTTGGGTCAAAGCAAAAGGATGCAAGCCGCAATTGTCAAATAAAATAGACATGTACATATGTACTTCATGGGTCATTTAGTGCTTAAGCTCCGCCCACTCCTGTTTATGTAGATGGCTCCTTAAAAGATGACGGGAGTATGCCAGGTGCAAATATTTCATTCTTGTAGCCTACTGGGCAGGAGGTGTAAGAGTCTGTAGTTGCTATCTCTTCTCATCAGTCGTTCCTTAGAGATGCCATCACAAAAGTCACACATATTTCTAGATGGTAGCAAACAAAAGGAGTTTAGCTGTGTGTTATTATAAATAATGTTTAAATAATACAACATTATTTTCTTATAATTATAAATATTGGTGTTTGATATTGATAAATATTAATGGTGTTTACTGTGGAAATTTTTGGTAAATATTCTGTGCACTAAAATGCTAACATTAATAGGATGTGTGTTCTATGTCAGACAATGTGCTAAGCATATCACATATATTTAACCATCAGAACAATCTTATGGTTTGGACACTGTTGTTAATTCCCTACGGAGGCAATATGGTTTAATCGTTAAGGACATGGGGCCTGGGGTCAGAAACTTCTTGATTTACATCTGGACTCTGCCATTTTCTACCCCTTTCATCTTGGGAAAGTTAATGTTTTCTAAACCTCGATTTCCTTATAGTAAAACGAAAATCTCTTTCCATAGGATTGTCATGACTTTTAAGTACAATCACGTGTGTGAAGGTTTTACTGCATTACCTGGCAGAGTAAACACTTTAATGTTAAGATAATTTCATCATAGTCATTACGTCAAATATATTGCCCAAGATAACGTGTGGGAGATGTTTGCTTTATATGCATATTGTCTCCTGCCTGTATGTGCAGGATGCATTATGTGCGTTGCATGTGTCTAAAAGGAGCGTACAAGGAAGTGGTGATCCTTGTTCAAATCCTATGCGGTTAGAACGGCTTTTAGTCCCTTCCAGTTCTTTGAGAGGCCTCAGTGAAGCAGCTCTGGGTCTTTCCAGATCATCTCCCATTACCTATGGGTGCTCCGGTACATTTCTCTTACAAACAAACTCTTCAGTACTTCGAAAACCTCAAGCCCCCCCCCACCACCACCAATTCACTACACATGGGGCTCCTGAGTGGGGTCCAGGTCCACTAGAGTGTAGGAAGAACATGTTAGAATGATCCTTGTGTTTATTTTTATCTAGCCTTTTTTATGTTTGTGTATGTTTTATAATGGCTTAATAGTGTGGTGGTATATGTACATCATTTTAAATAAATAAATCAATTAATAAGCATATGCCTGGTGCATGTATGCAAAAATCTTGTCGCAGGTAGGGTTGCATTCACACAAGTTGGGAGACCACTGAACTAGAGAATAAAACTTCCTTGTAACCCGAGATCCTTTTTTTTTAAAGATCTGTTTATTTTAGAGAGAGGGGGAGAGCACGCGGGGGCGGGGGGAGGGGCAGAGAGAGAGAAAAGCAGACTCCCCACTGAGCACAGAGCCCGTTGGTGGGGCTCCATCCCAGAACCCCGAGATCACGACCTGAGCCGAAACCAAGAGTCGGCCGCGGGACTGACTACGCCACACAGGCGCCCCTGTACTCGTGGTCCTTTCTATTTAGTCCGCAGCCTGGTTTTCCGTGTGTATCACTATTAATCTTTTATTCTAAAACTTTGAAACGTACACAAAAGTAGACACAATCATATAATGAATCGGTATGTACTTCTCACACACCAATTCATTTAGTAAGAACTTCTTACAGATAACTTTTAAACATAACCACAATGCCATTTTCACACTTTCAAAAATCAATAATTTCCTAATGTTATCAAGTCAATATTAGAGAAGTAAGTAACGAAGAAAGTGAAAATTCCTATAGACCCAACCCCCAAAGAGAGTCCTTGTCAATAACATAGGGCATCTTCTTTCAACTTCATACCTATATATGTTGATGTTAGTATTATTGTCTGGGTTTGAGTTTAACATTTGACTCTGAGTTGGTCTGACTGCAACTGCCCTTCTAGCTGAGTCCTCATTCCAGCATATTTTATGTACGTGGACTGGCCAGAAGGGGTATGATGGACGTGGATTGGCCAGACGGGGTATGATGGACGTGGAAAGACAGTACTCAGGTGAACAACCACCACAGCATTAGGCTTCTAGTAAAATCCAACAAGTAGTGCAGTTGCTTCAGACATTGAAATTAACACAGACCCCCTAGGCGCAACTGGAATCAGTCTAATCGCAAAATAAATTACTTTCCAGAAAAGAAAGACTAACAAATACTGGAATGACCAGTTGCTGACAGTTGCAATGGATCGATTCCCTTTGCTATGAATTTCATCTTCCATGATGATTGGTCTTATAAAGACAGTCTTCATTTATGTTCCTTTTTCATGTATTTCCAAATGCCAGTTATTCTCGGCATGATACTTCTGAGCTACTCAGGATGTCACTCGGATTTATTTCTCCTGGATTACTCTTGGTTTGGCAATGGGAGAAGTCCACTCTCTGACTGGTTTACCAGTCATAATTGTGTTAACTGATTTTTAAATTGGGAAATGAGCAAATCGGCTCTGTTCAGGTGATTCCTTATCTTTTCCAAACATTTAGAAATCTTCATAAGGATCAAAATACATATATTACATTGTTTCTCTCTAACCTGATTTTGTCTCCGCATTTAGGGGGGTGGAGGGGTGCTCAGAGGTGGGAGGTGTTTGAGGAGCTCTGTGTTGGGGGGGCGGTAAGACTAGTTTTCAGTTTGGTTTTATGGATTCCAGTGCTAGTTTCCCCTGTGGCAGTCCAAAAACTATGATAAAACGTTCTCTATATAACGTTCCAAATCTTCCTTTAGAGTTAACATTGCAGAGATGGCTTCTCTGCTTTGAAAGATCAGTCAGAATCTAACCTTTTGAACTGAATTTTTATTCATAAGAACTTGAACATCACTAAGCTGGATACTTTTTAATTATCTCCCTATTCTCTGGCCTATCCCACTCACTTTTTAATTTCGAAGCTTATACATAGGAAATCCATGTCTTTATCAAATGTTTCTGCTGCACAAAATAATGGAATGAATTAAATCCTGGGTCACTGAAATAAGTAGATAGCCACTTATCCCACATAGCTTATTTCACCATTCAACTTGAAATTAACCTCCTGCCTGCAGCTGAACTTTCTCCAATCTTGCCTCTGTATTTATAATCGCATCTCAATTTTCTGTTACACATTAACCTCAAAGCATTGAGTTGTTTGTGAGTTTGTTTGGGTTTGTTGTTGTTGTTGTTGTTCTACCTGTTAATTTTCATCTTCTACTCTCCAGTCTGGACCAAAATTCTGGTTGCGGCATTGTCATTCACAACTTTAGGCAGAATTAGCTTTGGCAGTGGAGGTATGTGGGATTTGGGAAGCTGAGCCTTCTTAATAACCTCCAACTAAGTAATATTTCTGTTTTCACTTTGATTAGTACCTTTTGCACATTCTGCCCTTTCACTAAATGATCCCTGACTCCTTTCTGTCACCCACTTAAAAGAGGCAAGATGAGTCCGTTCATTCATTCCTAATCTGGGCAAACACTGCTAGGGGCTGGAGGTGAGATACAATGGTGAATGACTGACATGGTCCTTGCCAAAAATGGAGCACCCATTCTAGAACGGGTCATTCCTCAAGAAAGGAGGGGCTCAGAGCGAGTCAGCATTGCAGGCAGTCTCCACTTTGCATGGCATCACAGGACCGCAAAGATGACCAAGCAAGCCAGAAACGTGCAAAATGATCTTAATTGTCAATGAGAAAAAATTACAATTGTTCCATGACCTATAGAGATCTTTGTGAAAACATTACTATCTTACTGTCAATTTTAAATATATGGGGACATGAAAAAAATATAGTAAAATGGATATTTATTTGGTACACAGTAATTTAAAACATTAGAAACTGGGAGAATTAAAGTGGACTTTTTTGGTAAAGCCTTACAGAGGGTAATGTGAACAGAGCTTGTCGTCTTTTATTCATCATTTAACTTATAATCTGGAGTGAGCATCTTTTCTGTGCTTTGGCAAATTGTCATACTGCTTTCTAAATTTGGATCAGCTTCCCATATTTTATCGTTCGTGCTTCCAATGTTGTGAAATGTCTCCAAGAGTTCCTTTAATGTAAGTGGGTTTCTTTTCCAGTGTTACTTCCTCTGGGACAGCTTCATCCTTTTCATCACAGCCACCCTCCTTGCTTCTGTCAATGAATTCGCCTTCACTACCTTCCTCTGGCTGCATATGTCCAGTCTCAGATGAAGGCAGTGCTCACATTCCCAAAAGCAGCTACTTTTTCTATCATCCCATTTACATTCTATCTTCATTTCACTTCCAGCATTATCATTTCTTGTTTCTTTACTGCACTTTCATCTTTGTTGACCAATTCCCTCCTTCAATCATTCATTTTTATAAAATGTTATGTGGCTTTATCATGCAGGGGGGAAGAAAGGAGGCAGGACGACTACATGCTTGGCTGTCTGTGCCTGAGCTGAATAGCAGATGCTCGGTGGCCCATCACTAACAGACATTGCAAGAGGTGATACGATTGGTCACTGATCATCATGCACCTCTTTTATTTATATAGTGCTTTCTGGATTGAAGAGGTAGTCGCAAAGTTTGTACTTTGTGCAATGATTCACAGTTAACATACCATGGTAACTGAAGTTTAAACCATGTTGTTGGGGGACAGGTGTTTAGCTAAAACCATGGTAACTGAAATTCATGCATATCAGACCCATGCAGAATGAGGACTGCCTGTGCACAAATATTTAAGGGGTCTGAAGCCAGTGGTGAAAAATAGCTGAACAGGTAGCGTTCGGCACTGTCCAATAGGATTTCCTGCAATCGTGGACATTTTCTAAATCTGTGATGCACAATATGGTAGCAAATAGCCATACGTGGCTATTGTGTATTTTCAGTGTGGCCAGAATGACAAAGCAACGGAATCTTTAAGTCAATGTAATTTAATTAATTTAAATTTAAAGCCCACGTGTGGCTAGTGGCACGTGGAGGTCTAGTGGGCAAGTGCAGGTGTTGGGGGGCAAGCAAAGAAGAGTAAAATAAACAGAATAATGACAGACTGCAGTAAGTTCTAAGAGGGAAATTGATAGTCTGCTGAGGAAGGGACTACAGATAAGTCAGGACTTTGTCTAGGTTTGGAATGAAGGAGCCAACTCTGATCATTTAGTACACGACACCCATTTCACAAAGGCCCTGCTAACGATATTTAAATGATATAAGACTCTCCCTCATTAGACTTGGGTTCTGACTTACCCAAATCCTTTCCTAAGTCCCAGGTCAAAAGACAATTGAGTATCCCCTGAATAATGCAAACAAACACATACATACTCACTTGTTCTTAGCCTTTGGGTGCCTTAGATGATGATGATGTATGATTTGCGTGAATAACTATTTCTTCCCCAAGATCTGAAAATCTGCTGTAGACTGTTGAGTGCACATTAGTTTGTGAATGACTGACAACTGCAATGGGGTGTGGGAAGTGTTGTGGCAAATATTGACCTAACAGCCAGCATAAGTAGTCTGTTCCCTAAAACCTGTCCTTCCCAACACAGTCTGATTCCATACCAGCCCTTAGCCCAGAGCAGAAACTTTCCTCTGCTTTTCCTCATCTTTCCACCAGTTCTTGGGCCTAACTTCCTTCTTGGTTGGGTTCCAAGCCTGCACCCAAGTCCACTCAGATGTCACCCAATGCATTCTGCAGTCTAAAATATACATATAAAATATACAGAGGAATAAAGGAAAATGTGAGCTCAGAGCTTGATAAAAACCAATTTAAATTTAATCACCACTATCTTCCCTTTTCTTTCCCTTCCTTATCTCCCCTCACCCTCCCCACCCGACCCCTCTGTATTAGTTTTCTATTGCTGTGTAACGAATGCACACAAACTTAATGGTGCGTTTATTATCTCACAGTTTCTGGAGCTCAGGAGTCTGGGCAAAATTTATCTGGGTCATCTGCTCAGGGTCTCATCAAGATTTTGGCTGGGCTGCAGTCTCATCTGAAGGCTCAGCTGGGGATGAATCTGCTTCCAAGCTCATTCAGATTGTTAAAATAATTCAATTTCTTGCAGCTATATGACTGGCAAGTAGCCCTGGTGTTTTGCTGCTGGAGGCTGGAGGCTGCCCTAGGGTCCCAGAGGCTGCCCTCGGGTCACAGAGGCTGCCCACGGTTCCTTGCTACAGGGGCATCTCCAACATGGCTCCTTATTTTATCAAGCCCACAAGGAGAAGCTCTGA